TAACATTTCTGTTCATTTATATCAATTTGTTTTCCTGCTAAAATATGACCACGTCCACGAAAATAAAATGAAACGGTAATTATGTATTCTGTAAATAACTATTTTTGACGATATTTAGTAAAAAAAAACTTAGTACGTCATTAAATTGAAAACTTTTTATAATATAGCTTGTATAGGTTCCAACAATAGTGATACGACGCATTAAATTGCTCTTATCCTCTTGAAATCCCTTTTTTCAAACTATCTCAACAAATACATGTATCAAATATCAAAAACAATTAATACTATACTAGAAAAATTAAGCTTAAAATTGGCCATTATTCCTAGCAATGAATATTTTGTTTTTGTATTAGTCAAGTAATTTCAAACACATAGATTAGTTGCAAAACAAATACATATGTATTATTAAACTTACGAGGGCTGTTCAAAAAGTTTGTGGACTGCGGCTCTACTGTTCACATCTTTTAATTTGCGTATATGATTTTACAAGAGACATATATGAAAATATGTCCTTAATAAACAGTGAAAAAATCAATACAATAGTTTTACAAATAAAAAATTCGTGACAGTTACAAATCACAAGGGGTGCACAATCCGGCGCACGCTGATGGATGAAAGACAAAATGAGTTCGTACGTCGCAATATAAATGAAACATTTTACCAGCGTTTATTCACCGTAGGGAACGTGGGGGGGTTTTTTACAGTATCGCCTTTTTCGGTTACAGTATAGAATTTTAAAGATGGAGGATTATTTTGCTTGGGAGGAGGACCAGGTAAGGTGATTTTTATTCGGTCCATACAACAAGTAGTTTAGTTTCTAAAGATGGTTTGTGCTTTGCTTGTAAGGAACAGACTCCGGTATTAGTCATATATTTCTTCAGACTCTGCACCCCAGATTTTAAATCCGGTTGTTTTTTTTTTATATTGTCTTCATAAATATGCGGAATTTGACAGTTTCAAAATTTGAATCGAGAGACCAACGGCATTTTTCTCCAATTTCGACATTATTTATGCATGCCTAGAAAAAAGTAAATCTGCCAAAACGTTAGTCCTTTATGTAGAAACGTTTATAAAAGTTAATGACCCAGTTGAACCTATTTTCCTGTTCGTATAATGCGTTTGAAAAAATAAACAATGTTACAGTATAGAGCGAGGTGATTGTGCAGGGTTACAGCATAGACCTAGCGATTTTCTATCCGATTTTTTTTACAGTTTATACTCAGATTTCGGTTCAGTTTAGACTTCGATATTTTCTATATATACTAGGTAAAATGTATGAATGTTACATAGACTTTTAAATCTCTGTGAGCTTATTGGCCCGATGGCTATTCGTCCGTCTGTCGTACACGTGTGTTCAATCTCATCCGCTTCAGTAAACTACTTGACTAAATGTGATGAAATTTACATGACTTTCTACCAAATTAGCTGTTCAAATGGTTTCGGTTGCAATCGGGGATACGAAAATCCAAATTATAGATTTTGAAAAAAGGCAATGTTTAAAGACCCTTCACGTCTCGAACCAAAAGCATTCAAATCAAATCATGATCATGGCGTCATTTCGAATGCTTCTTTGTTGAATTTACGATTAATTTGTCATTATTAAATTAAAAGTCGTTTTTTCTTATTTCAGACATTCTGTATAGCACGTTTTCATGTTTTTGAAAAAAAAATAATATTGAAAGTTATAGAGTATAAATTAAGGTCAGACAATTACAATATCTTCTCTATTGAGCCTGATGAGGTACATAAAAGTGGCAGAGTCGGGATAAGGCCTTCGACTTCAAATTATCTTTTCATTTTACTGCTGTAATTGAAAATCCAGTCATGACTTTGGATTCTTGTATGTGAGGAATCTATCAAGCTAATTTTCGGAAGGTCGGTGTTCTAGTCAGTTCCCCACTCGTGTCTGAAATGTTTCACAAAGGGATTCTGGGGTCTTTCTTTACACTAAAGCAGGAATGTTTTCGCATGACCTCAGTATCGTTGAAACTTAAAATCCAAGAAGGCCAAACGTAACAAACCCTTTTAAATACTTACAAAATACATTGTGGACACTGGTAGATGGAAATTCCAACTTAAAATAAAATTTAAGGTTGAAATATTGCTCACATAAATACTGTTTAATCATTCTTAGGGTATTGCCTGCTTGTTAATTGTGTCTTGTGTCTTTTGACAGCTTATCTATGGTATGTAGGGTTCATAACCTGCGATCCCCCCCTCAACATTTTATTTTTTTTAGTTTCACTCATTTTATTGTTTGGGCACACGAAAAATTTTTTAACCCGGGATAATATGCCCCTTTTTTATTTAATGGCAATAACGTGCACATTTAAGGTTCCACGATAACCCCCTATGACACATCCACAGATTTTAAAATCTAAAGTGTACCCTTATGTTTAATGTGAATTCTGCTGAAGCCGGGGCTAGGGGCGTGGGCGGGAGCTTGCAGTACCCCTACCGTCCCTAAAAGGGTTTAATCAAACTGTTTCCCGCAACTTTTTCTTTTTCCTTTGGACTTCTTTTGATTTTTTTTTTTCTCTATTTTTTTACTAAAAAGGCATTATTATAAAATTTTAATGAAATCAAGCAAATTTTTCTTTTCTCAATTACAATTCGATAAAAATTACCGTTGTTGTCGTGAAAACAGCCCTTACTTAGGACATTACTTATTCTGCAAAAAGTCTCAATCTGAAACTTAAAGTAAGGAAAATATCAAACTATAACTTTTCTGCTGAAGAAAAAAGTAATACAACCTTTCAAGAATATATTAAATAGAAAGGTATGAGTTATTTCATAAAAATAATGGATACACGAACTGTGTTTGAAATTTGGCAAGCATCTAAACTGTAACCGAAATCTGGGTATAAACTGTAACAAAATAGTATCAAAGTCGCTAGGTCTATGCTGTAACCCTTCAAAATTAACCTCGCTCTATACTGTAACATTGTTTATTTTTTCAAACGCATTTTACCAACAGGAAAATAGGTTCAACTGGTCATTTACTTTTATAAACGTTTCTAAACACAAAGAACTAACGTTTTGTAGATTTACTTTATCTAGGCACGCTAAAATAATGTCGGAATGGGGAAAAATGCGTTGGTCTCTCGATTCAAATTTTTAAACCGTCAAATCTACACATTTATGAGACAATATAGAGATAAATCTGCGGTGCAATGCCTGAAGAAATATATGACTAGATACCGGATTCTGTTCCTTACAAGCAAAGCACAAAAACATCTTTTAGAAACTAAACTACTAGTAGTATGGACCTGAATAAAAATCACCTACATCTCTTCCCATAAATAATCCTCCATCTTGAAAATTCTATACTGTAACCGAAAAAGGCGATACTGTAACACGTTCCCTACGGTGTTATTGTTTCTGAAAGTACTCTTTTTAGTGTTCAATATCTGCGGATCATATACCAAAACCATTTTTCTGTTTGCGATGATGACCCGAGATATAAAGTGGTCATCTATTCGCTCCATTCTCCGTATAAAGGTCCGAGTGCCGCATACTTTCCGCTCTTTATCGGGATTTTTGAGTAATTTAGACACTAAACCAACAGTGTAAACGGACAGTGTTATTAGGTTAATTCAATTGTTGATTGATAGTATCAATTTGAAACCGCCCTCGTCCGATCTTTAAACAATATGATTATCGATGATAAAGATAATATTTTATCAACTGACAATTATTCTATGCGGTAAATCTACTGAACACCGGCTAGCATTAATTATCAAACGGACCACGGTAAATACAGGAAATACAAATAATAACTACAAGCATTTATTGTAAATACGCATATATCCTGACGAATGAAATAAAATATTATTTTAATTAAATTAAATTGTTTTTTCAGAATTGAATGCATAGACCCGATGCAGAAATTAAACATGTCGGACATCTCGCAAAACTGCCATAATGCCTGAACTTATGTAGATCTTTTGCAATTGACGTTACAAACGTCCAAACAATTTGCCGCTAAAATTATTCGTCGCCCTTTCTGTCTGTGAGCATGTATTTGCCGTATTTGAATCGCTTGCGCGACCTGAAACCAAGTGACTTGCTTGACAACTTATTGTTTTTCGTTAATTTAATCACCTTATAAAAATATAAAGGAGTATACCACATTTATTGGTAAAAATTTCCGAAAGAGCGAATTTCTAGTTTTTAAACGGGGTTTATACTTCCCAACTTACCCGTCTGTCTACTGCTACTCAAAACTTGTTTGTTCAGCTATTCAACGTCCAAACGACGCCAAAAGTCAGATTTATGTAATTTTAATATTAATAGATGATTACTTGTATTTAACTTCATAAAACAATCATTTAATTTGTTTCAACATTTGTTTATATTTAAACATTATATGAAAATTTCGGCGTGTGCCGATGTTGCGTTGCCATGGTTATTAAAGTGCTCATAACTCGTAAAGGAAATAAAAGTTAACAATAAAAGTAAATCTTACTTTTGAAAATAAAGCCACTCTTTCGATTCATATCCAGTAAGGGTGTTTGTATGAACCAAGTAAAAAATGACAGCAAAAATCCACGAACTTTTTGAACATACCTCGTATGTTTTGAAAACCGGTAAAACTGACATATGCTTTCTCAAAATAAGGAGCGGATAATGTGAACATTTTTTACAATTATTAATACGATGGTTGTTCAAATAGTAATATGAATAATGGTCTTGCATCTTCATATTCGATTAAATTTAGAATATTTTCATATGTACAGTGATCGTAAAATGTTTTCTGCAATTTGAGCATACGTGATAAATGATAAATAGATAAATGTGCTAAACGCGTGACCCTTTGATATGATTACCCATTGTTTTGATTTTTTTTCACTGTAAAGGATATGCTCCGATATTTGCCTCTTGTAAAATTGTGTACGTAAATTAAAAAATTTGAACAGTGACCTGCAGTCCTATTACTTTATTACTTTTTGAACAACCCTCGTACATATTCATTATACTTACATGTCTTGATTGCTTGTGGAGATTTCATAGTTAGGTCCGTATTGAAGAGGTCGGTGTATGGTAACAGTTTAGACATTGGAATCATACCACCATCAAGTTTCCCTGACAGAAAAATTACATATTTGTACCACTAAATATTATAATAATGCTACAAAAAGTTTTATACCTATGTCTTTCTTTTCTCTTTTTTAAACAAGAAAGGGTATGACCAATCAGCGCATAAATATGACCAAAAATACATCTTATAAGTTTGTTTGTTTGGTTTTACGGCACATCAACACCATTTAGGTCATGTGGCGAACATTTTATAAGGACGAGTTTAAGTTTTAGCTAGCGATGTAGATAAATGATTTTTATGCAGTAATAGTGAGTCATTAAGGATTATTACCCCTAACTTTTTTCGTAATGTTAATTTCCCATATGCCTCTGGGAGTTATTCTTACTGTTAATGCAAGTGTACCACGTGACTACGAATTTTGTACTGTTACATAGGTAACAGTATTTTAACAGTATAAAATCTGGTCACGTGGTCTATTTTCTAAATAAAATGAAATAAAATGGCCGCCATTTTTTTTCACGATTCATTCTTATTTTCGACGATAGGGCATCGCCGAAGTAACTATTACTCTGATAAAATTTAGTTCTTTGCATCCTAGAGTCCCTTTCGCGTATTAAATATCTTTTTGTTGAATAGTCAACAGGAAACATCCGTTTTCAACGGAAGTAATTGTAATGTAAATAATTTTGTGTCAAACTGGAACATGCAGACAATTAAAGCATGCAATAAAGGATAATTTAACAATTTTAACCAGTGAAACGTTACAGATAGAGTTGGTGGACCAGTGAAACGTTACAGATAGAGTTGGTGGACAAACATCTAATTAATATCATCGTTATTTTCTAAATGCACTTTGTCAAAAACCATGCGAAGAATATTCTGGATGCATAAGGATCAGATTTCACAGATCATAACCTTATAAATGGGTTAGTGTTTTGTTTTCTGAATAAAAAAGATTTTATGTTTTCTGGTAAATTTCAAAACTTCCAAAAGGAAAAAAGAAAACATTTCCCCAAGTGGCACAGTGCCAAAAAATTTGAAAGGTAAAAAGTTTTTTTATTGTTCTTGGTTTTTTTTGTAACGGTTGTTTTTAGTTAAAAAATTCAGATCATCAAGTAATTGTTGGGGGTATAATAAATAACAAGGGGTGTTGGGGGAACATAAAAATTAATCCTCTTTAAAAATTTTTCCTGGGCTACGCTGGGGTACAGTTTTTCCCCCGGGGATGATTTTTTCTTTTCCCCAAAAAACCCATTTTATTTATATAATAACACGGTCTGTATGTCTTACAAAAACAAAGTTGGTTTACGTCAAAATACTTTATAAATACATGTACTTTTAATGGATCAGATTTTAAAGAGCGTTGCTTAAAAGGCCCATTATGTCCCAGAAATGATTTTCTTTTCATTTCTCAAAAGCTATTTTTTTATTTTGGTGTCCTGATAAAGTTTTCAAAAAAAAAATCATTTGCAAATTACCTAAACAATTTTCTTTTTACTTGTTTTGCCTTTTGACAATGAATAAAGTAATAGTGATTTATGTATTTTCTATGGAAGTCAAAATACTACTTTGTTGAGATTTTGCTACTATTATAACAAATAATTTCACATTTAGCGCTACTTTATTCTGGCATGATCTAAAACCATTGTTTAAACGTTAGAGAACTTATGTTTGCCTTTTCTAAAGAAGGAAATATTCATTCGTTTCTGAGAAACAATGTGCCTTAAAACATATATAGAAGACAAGAAAGATGATAGTATAGCACATACTGTCTATCATTTTAGGGTCGTCACGTTTTCTAGTGTCCACAATCTGTCGGCTCTTACTCTTCGTCACGTTCTCATTCATGTCGTCATATGTAAACAACAGGCTTTTATCCATAGTTATCACAAAATTTGATTTCTGGAAAACATGAAAATATTAAAATGTTAGTTCTTTAACAGGTTGGTACGATCTTTCAGCAGCTAACGTAACTTCGACATAAAGTGAACGGTAGGGGAACTTTATTTGGCTGATGCGCAGGAGCGCAGCAGGTTGGTTGATGCGCTTGGCTTTTGTCCACATGCAACTCAACTGTTACGAAATATTCCTTACGCTGATTAGCTTGTTTATGTGTGGGAAGGGGGTGGGTGGGGTGAAGTCGATGGTTCTACTGATATGTCAGCTAGATCTTGCATTAAAGTGACATTATGCTCATTGTTTCATTGTCAAATTGACTTTAATTGACTATATATTTCAATAAACTGATCGTTATAATGGTGATTGACCAACACATGGTAGTTGAAAATTTTTAGGGTAAAAACTAAATCTACCCAAATAAATAAAAAGACTGCCCCACTCTTTTTATAAATTGAAAGTTACAGATACATTCCGACGGATAATTACACACATTTCACAGGGCCTAGTGAGTTATGTATCGTTCATGTGAAGTAAATTATAATATGAGAAAATGTTAACTTATTTTGACTTTGACCTGTTCACTCTATATCTACCCATGGATGGGCATTATGTCACTTTAATTAATATAAAATTCGATAATTTATTTCTCTTTTAACCAATTAAACAGTTATCCTGTAGAAAATATTTAAAGAGTTACACAAACTTAAAATTTGAATCTTTATTTTCCATACGTTTGCTTGTTTGTTATTGTGGACTGTTAATGTCAACAATTTACAAATGTATATATCGATACATCTATAAGCAAACACGTAAATACATAATCATTTACCGAATGGGGTATATCCTTAATATATATTAGTACATGTATATATTCTTTTAAAACCACGTAAGTGTGTGTAGGTGTGAGTGTGAATGAATTAAATTTAAAAAAAATAATCAAGATAATTTCTACCTCAACATGTGGTACATCTGTGGATGTTTCATACCCATCTGCTTTCCATTTCGGTAGACCCCCATCTAGAATCGTTACTTTTTTATGGCCATATAACTGAAAAACAAAAGTGTTTCTAGACTGACATGTGTGCCACATTTCAGTAATGGCCGTTTCTGAGTAGTATCAAGAACCCATTGGAGTGTTCTTCACAATACAGTACAAATTGTTACACTTCTAAGATTCATTTTAGATCTATATCTAAACTGTAAATTACAACAGAAATCAAAACTTCAATAAGCATCAGGTTGCTCCCAGTCTAATCCTTTTTGTGTATTGATTGTTAATGCCATTTAAAAATCTGTTCTTATATATAACAATAAAACCAACAAATCATGGACAAATGAAAAAATGATAATGTCTGACATTGTATACAATCCAATGATACGTGATGGTGCCAGTATGTTTCTTTTAAACATTGAAAGTTATTGAAATCCTTTGATACAAGTGCGCACACAAAGGGTTTTACTATGGAAATTAACCTGAATGCGCAATATAATCAGAAAAGAACATTTTCAGCAGTTTGATTTAAAAGTTCTACATGGACTTAACTTGGTTTTCATAAAAGTTGTACCTTAACTTCAGCTCATTTAAGTTAGACAGCTATACAACATGTACATTGTCAACAAAAAAAAAACACAAATATTCAGAGATCTCCGTATCATGTTAAATTACAAAGAATGGAGAGAATAACATAACAATATTTGACACATGATTTTCAAAATTTAGAAAAATTCTTACCCTGAATAACCACCATGTACGAAACGCTGGAACAAGGTCATTTCGGTCATACACAATCACGTGGGTATCAGGCCACACCCCTAAACTTCTCACATAGTCTGTGAAGCTGGTTTCCTTCGGTAAATTTCGGGGTATTTCCGGTGTGCTTTCTACACATTTATGCAGGTCGAAGAAAAGAGAAGTTGGAATATGTTCTCTGTAATAATTATCATTATGTTCGTTAACTTATGACTAAATAAAATTGGAACTATATTTACGCACGTACTTTGACTCTCATGGCCCAGAAGATTGAAAATAATTGGTTCCATCGACTGCTGACGTAGTAATATTCAAATCGCGTGAAGCAATAATATATATGTAAGTTTTTAAAAGAAGAATTAAAAACTTTCGTAATAAATTGGCCAGTCAATTTAAAAATAGATAGGGTATTATGATTCTATAAATATTATGGTAAAGTGATTGAAACTATTTTTGTTCAGCGTAGAAAGACCAAAAAAAAAACAACATTGGATTGCCCAACATGAATAAAGTATCTATGTGGCTATTTATTGCGAGGGAAAATGTTACTAGAGACTTACAGTTTGTCAACTGTCCAATGGTTAATTACTGATTTACTAGTACCTGAAACAAATGCTCACCGGCAAACGAATCAGTCATAATATTCTTGTATTGCCGATAGAAATCAGAATTGAATTGAATTGTCTACTTGGTACAACTAAATGTAGAAAGTAACCATGTAACCACTTAAATTGTGTAAGTTGTGCATAATTAATTTTCATCTCTGAAAAAAATGGTGATTAATATTAATCCTGTCTGTGAATGAGAAATTCTAAACTGCGTTTAAAATCCGATATTACACTTTAAAATATACATAGAGGATATTTGTTTAGTTTAGTGTAAGATAGGAATATATTTCACCGAGTGAGCACCAAAAGGTATATTTCACGAGTGGCGCAGCCACGAGTGAAATATGAACTTTTGGTGTTCACAAGGTGAAGTATATTTCGATCTTACACTAAACTAAACAAATTTTCTTTTTATTATATGCAAAGAAACGTTTCAAAAAGACATCAAACCTAATACTGAATGAAAAGCGCGCCAAATAATAATACAACGTGACGTCATTTACGACGTCTCGTCATTAAGTTGGTACCCAGTTCTGTGCACGCTGGTATGTCACTGAAACAGCGTAAGGGGCTTAAATTCAAAACAGTGAGATTATCAAAGTGGTAATTTCACTGTTTCAAACAGTGAAATTACCAGTTTTATATCACTGATATATTTCTATAAACCACCGAAAAGCATGCAATAAATGTATATAAATAAGATTACATAATAAAATGCAAGGACTGTGTCGACTGTCGATCTCCAATGTTTCGAGAGTTTAAGCATCTCTTTATCAAGGAACTTGCTGTTTATTTCATACAAATCGTTAAAACCTTCTTTCTCTAAGAGGAAAATATTTATACATGTAATTGACTTAGTGTTAAGAAAAATGAGGTTTTAAAATGTGATTTTAAAAAATAACAGTAAGCTTTTTGATAGAGAGAGGTTTAACCCCTCGAAGCTTCGTCGATTGAGAAACGTTGCGAATTTACAATCCTTTACTTATTGTTTCTAGAGTGGTTTCAAAAAAATAATAATAATAAAATCAGTTTATTGTGAACGTGCATTCCCCGTGCTGTAGAATTTGCGTAATTATAATTTCATTTGTTACAGCTGTGACATTAAGTGTCGCTACGACCTTAGTTGCCATAATTTGTTGTATTCGTACAATTTTGAACATTTAAGCCTAAGAAATATATAGCCGGCGGCTCGTTACGGACTATGTTGTATAAATTATAAAAACATAACAATGTAAGAATTAATCATTTGTGGTGCGAATACACGTGTTTTAATAATATACCGGCTGTTACGCAAACTTATCATACAGTACTGATTGTCTATGAGAGTCACGTTTAAAGGTAAAACAGGACATAAAGAATTGAATATCGAATATAACAGTTAATTTGCACAAAAATGGTAAAATGCCTATATGGCGAACTCGGTAAAGTCGTCAGGATTACACAGGCATTTTGCTATGAGCTCAAGCTTAACAATGTGTCTTTTTTTACATCAGACGAAAATGAACTGTCGTACCAATCTGACTAAAGTTCGGATCTACTTATTTATTCCATGTAGATCTGATGACCACTGTATAAGTTTCGCCTTCTTTATTTTAATGGGCATTGTATTGCCAGTTTACCTGTCGGCTATATGGACAACGCCATGTTTGTTCTCGGAATCGTGAAAATTACCTAATTAGTATTAGTTTTCCGAGGTTTAAAAGTAGAAAGGCACCGCTTTCAAAATAATGAAAGCTCGCAAATGATTGGTTGTTTGAAAGACCACGAAAAGGTGACTTCCTATGGGTCGATGTCAGATCCTAATGCGTAGCGTTATTAAGGAGCTGATTTTAATCAGATTGACAGTCGTACATTTGTAGGATTTTTATATTGTCTTACTATCAAACAACATAAAACATACCGGTAATTGCCCTGTGTTCGTTCGGCCCAATACAAGTAGTATTAGTACAGTGTACAATAATACCACAATTATTTATAGTGTCAACCAATATAACGTTAATGCAATGTATGTACAATAATGCATTTCATTTAGTATATGGTCGCACCCAATCTGATTAAAATCAGCTCCTAAATAACGCTACATGGAATATATAAGTAGAGCTGAACTTGAGTCAGATAATGGTCGCACCAACTAGCTAGATAAGACTGAAAATACATTGACTTAATATCTATCTATCTCTGAGTACTGCCAACCCCTCTCGCGAGTGTTATAGGCAGGAAATAGTGCGCGTCGGTGTGTTAGTGAAAGGTGTGAGCAATACAACAAAATGTCTAAATAAATTATTCATCATGTAATATCTGCATGGAAGTAAATGTAATGCAATAGTGTTTATAGTGTTTTTATAATATAAAATGAAAAATAAGATAATTTGAAATATGCTTAAAATATATACAAAAAATTAAGCAGTTTAATAATAATGACAGGCGAAAAAAACTATAAGATTTCAATTTTTCAAAAACAAAAATGTACAGCATCATAAATTAACCAGAAATAAAACAGATAGGATCCTTACCAACTGCGTTACGCCGACAGTTGAAATATTACCTCTATATTCGTAAGGTATTTGCTTGACTAGTAATAACTTGTACAATATTACACCGTAATAGTGGACCTGACCGGCGCGTTACTATTATTATCCTAATGTATAAGATACAAAGAAGAGTAACAATAAACATACATTTATGCTTACAATAATTCTAATATAAAGTAAGAAAAGAAATATTTGTGAATTCAAGGGAGCCACTGATTTGCTGCTAATTTAGTGGCAAAGTCTTGACATTGGGGTTATGATGCCTGCCTCTCTATCCAGGCGTCATCGGTCTGAACTCGTACTTCTTCGGTCCAGACCAGGTTTTCGCATGAGTGATCAGACTAGTTTTTGGCCATAAACGTCACGATGGAAATGAAACCTTTGACGAAAGAATTGACATAAAGTGTTGATTCTAATCTATATACATGCAGCAGACAATTTACAATTGAAGTATATATATCTAAAATAAAATTGTTATAATTGTTTACTTACTTCAAATAACAGTCTTCATATGTGTCTATTTTCTTGAATCTGTCAAAAGTTGTATCGAGGATTCGGATGTTCTTGGATGAAGCACCCTCTTTTTCGATCTGTTCATGCAACCACAAGGCTGACACTAAGGTTGGTTGTCCACCAGCTGCCATGTCCGGATGTTAAGCTTACGTAATGGCAAAAAAAACAACAACAGTTGACGTCATAATTTTATATAAGTGGCATCCTTATTCGTGAATTTAATTCCAAAAATTACATCGCTTAATAATAATAATAATAATAATAATGATGATGATGATGATGATGATGATGATGATGATGATGATGATGATGATGATAATAACTTTATTTATATATATACAGATTGCAACATCTTATTTACATCTTATTTACAATGCGGCCTTCTTAAATAAAAAAATGACAACACACACACACACACACAAAAGAATACATATCAATCGAAGCAAATATAACATGCTGCACGGACAGGGGGCAATGAATTATCAATCACGAGAGATGAAGGCAATAACTGATATTTTTATTCCGATTAAATAAAGAAACTGTCTTTTTCCATCCATGATAATAAACATTTTATAAAACTATAACTTTTAAACCTCGAAAAAATTTGTTAATATTTAGTTTAATGTTATCATTGCAAATTACATATATTAATACAAACTTACTATAAAAACATATACTAAATAATTTATAATAAGAGAAATGTGTGTCTGTATTATTTAAGTAAATTGTATAAGTTTCATTAAAGTCAACAATTTAAATAAATGAAATACTACTATAACCTGGTATATGTCCGACTATTGTGACGTCGAGTATGTTGATAGGTATGCATTGTTTTATGTAATTCATTTATTTCCTTCATCACATTTAAATAATTGTTGTTGTTGTTGTTGTTGTTTTATGCTGTTGTTTTTTTTATCTTCTCCTCCTCGTCGTCGTAGTTGAAGTAAAGGCTTACTCATAGTGTGTTTTTTCCATCACTTGATAGATGCATCGTGCTCATATTAGATATTCTAATAAAACAAATGAATTTTGTAAACATAACATATGTATGAATATAACAAAATAGATAAATACAGAATCCCTAAAGAAAGCCCAACACGGCAAAATTGAAAATGTTGCAGGCTCGGTTTGATTGAGCCTGTCCATGGACGGTACTGGAAAGTGCAAGTTACCGTCCACGCCCCCTAGCACCGGCTTAAGCAGAATTCAACATTTAAACGTGAAATAGTAAAATTTTGAATTTAGAAACATCCGCAAATACCACTGTGGATAATCGGTAGCACTTATCTGCGGTCGAAATACCGAAAATGACATTACGTATGTCTGCCATTTTTACGACATGTCGTATTTTTGCATCTTCGATTTTTTTAATCATTTAGTTTCCCCTTTTGCACACTCGAAGGGCAAAATTAAGTTTCGTATTTTCGCATTTACACTGTTTTGCATTGTTGCATTGTCTTATTTTCGCAGCGCTGTATATTGCTTAGTTGCATGGTCCGGTTGTACAAGCACGTGTACACATCAGTAGCGACGGAGAGATACTCACAAAATATGATAATATATAATTATGATCAAATGTGAATATTATTTAGATCTAAACCATTGTAATTCAAACTTAAATTTGACTCCTTTAATTATTCCTGTGCTGTTGCATATGACAGGTGTGTAATATTCCTGCACGTGCGTAATCGTGACGCGAAGAATAATGCGAAACATCGGAAATGCAACATTAGACAAAGCATTGATGCAAAAGGTATAAAAGCAATAATATTATAAACGAAAAAGAAAATATGTGAGAATGCAAAAACACGACAAATAAATTGCAAAAACACGACTCATTTTATGTGTCTTTTTGTGAAATTGAATTGTTCTTATGTTTCTTTGAATGTGAGACGCGAAGATACGACAAAGGGGCATTTTCGAGGTAGAAATAAGACATGGCGTAAATCAGCCAGCATAACTCCTTGATATTCTTTAAAAACGAAAGTGAAAATTTCCCGGGGAAAAAATTGCAAGCCACTATGGGTGAGGTACCTTAAATTACACAAGCTGTTGCAATCGGTCGTGTATGACATTATATTCGATTTTATGTTGGTATGCATGGATAGAAATATATGAGAAATACATGTATCTCTATTGTTTAAAATAGTATATACAATAGTTTCAAAAGGTGATACATTTGTGTACATGTACCTGTAACATGGTTTCTATTAAAAAGGCGATATAACTCGTCTATTGTTATGAATAAGCAATCTTTTGGGATAATAGTACAGTTACAACATAAGACGTATATTTTACTTCAGTGTCATTTAATTCTTTCTGAACATATCTAACTTGATTTAAAGAATGAATAAAATATGTATGAGAAGCTGCGCTCCTATTACGGGATAAGTTAAGTTGGTCCTTTCTTAAAAATAAGATTGCCAGTTTTTTTAAATGACACTATAGATTCATATTGTGTCAACCTACAGTTTTTAGGATTTTAAACATAACATATCTACATTCTATGAAGTCAAAGCATGTTCATTTTATTTTTACAAAGAGACGGATATTTTCTAATATCAAATTTGAGCATAGTACATCTTTAAAATTTCTGAAACTATTTGTCAATTTCAATAAAACAATAAAAACAATGAATAAAAATATTGTATGCTTTTACAAGTTAACCGCTTAATTCTTATGTTACAGATATAAAACTGAAAAAAGTGTAAAAAAGTTCAGCCATATAATTTACACTTCATTTACTGATAGTTATGAACCATCATAAATTGATACATTATCTAAATTATTCCTGTGAGAAACGCAAACAGAGCTCGTTAGAAAAGATATGCGGTCATTAATAATTTATTGATGCATTTCTTCTTCTTCTTCTTCTTCCAGTATAAGAGCCGGGATCCAAAAGGAACGTAATGAGGCTCTGCGAAAACTATGTACATGGTGAGATGGAACACTCTTCCGCTCAGCGATAAAAGTTGTAAAAACTGATAAAAACTTTATTTACAGAGACGTTGTGAAGTGAATTTAGACGGAGGCCGGCAGGCGCGCGCGGAAAGCATCCAATGTTTCCGCGGCGGTGACTGTTGATGCCAGGCCATTCCAATCAACAATTGTCCTGGGAAGAAGGTATTTGTATACATCCTGCCAGTGGTGCGTTCTTGGTAGAAACGTATACGTGTTCTACTGTCACTGGTGTTCTTCTTGGATTGGTTACTCAGTGGTAGGTACTTGTCCTTGGGGATGTCTACTAGGTCATGTTGAATGCGGTAGAGCATGCCTAACCTTGCTTCCTTCCTTCTCTGTTGGAGGGTATTCCAATCCAGGCTCCTCAGCATTTCTGTCATACATCCAGGTGTTCTGGATTTATAGTCATTTTTGACAAACCTGGCTGCCCTTTTCTGGATCTGCTCAAGTGAATCTATGTGTGTCTGAAGATGAGGATCCCAAACCGTTGCTGCATATTCAAGACCTGGGCGTACAAAAGTGCAGTAACTTGCTGCTTTCAGTTGTGGTGTACAATCCTTCAAGTTTCTCCTCACAAATCCCAGTGTTCTGTTTCCTTTGGCAGCTACATTCTGTATGTGCTTGTCCCATGAGAGGTTGTTGGAGACAGTTACACCAAGGTATTTGCTGTGGTCCACTGATTGCAGGACTTGGCCATGAAGTATATACTGGTGTTGGTGATCTATCTTTCTGTTTGATGATATGTGTAATACATAGCACTTGGAAGCATTGAAGCGCATAAGCCAGGTTCGTTCCCATTGTTCCAAAGCTTCAAGATCCTGTTGCAGCCTTGTCTTGTCATTTGTACTCTTGATGACTCTGAACATGAGGCTGTCGTCCGCAAAGAGTCGGATGTCAGATGATGTGCAGTCAGGCATGTCATTTATGTAGGCCAGGAACAAAAGTGGACCTAGAACGGTTCCCTGGGGAACGCCAGATATAACATCATCTTGATCAGACTTGGTGCCTTCAAGGACTACCTGTTGCTTGCGGTTGCTCAGGAAGGATTTGATCCACTGGTTTAAGGGACCTCTCACGCCATAGAAATCTAGCTTGTAGAGGAGTCTGGAATGAGGGACTTTGTCGAACGCCTTCTCGAAGTCAAGTAGAATGGCGTCTACTTGGGTACCCCGCTGAGAGATACTTGGCGATGGTGTCAACTGTTGTTAAAAGTTGAGTTTCGCATGAGCGACGTTTCCTGAAACCATGCTGGTTGTCTCTCAGTATATGGTTGGTGTCAAAGTGTGACATTATATTACTGTGGACAATGTGTTCCAGGATCTTGCAGGTGATCGATGTAAGTGAGACGGGCCTATAGTTGGCCGGGATGTGTGTATCTCCCTTTTTGTAGATGGGTACTACATTTGCATCTCTCCAGTCCTGAGGTACTTCAGAAGAGTCAAGGGAGAAACTGGAAAAGGCGGGTAAGTATTGGTGCCAGTTCATCAGCAAGCTAAATGGAGGAACCTGGTCGGAATCTCATCAGGGCCTGCAGCTTTATGGCAGTTAAGATTTTGGAGTAATTTCCGTACTCCTGGTTCCCTAACTGTAAATAGATGACATGCTGGGGTGGCTACTTGGTCCCTTGTCAGGTAAGTTCTCTGTGGGTTCTCGGGTGAAGACAGAGCTGAACTGCTGGTTCAGTATACTGGCCTTGCTCTTGCTGTCACTCCGAATGAAACCAGCAATGTTCTTCAGGGGGGCTACACCAACCATTTCCTGACCCTTGCTCTTGATGTAGGAGTAGAACTTCTTCTTGTTGTCTGGACTACTGTCACTGATGATGTCTTGCATATACTGCCGGTTTGCTCGTCTTGTGTGCCACTGGACTTCTTTTTGCAGTCGCTTGTAACGATCTCTGTCTCGTTTGGAGTTTGATTTCCTAGCTTTCTTAAAGGCTTTTTGTTTCCGTCGAATGGTTCTTTTAATGGTGGAATTCATCCATGGATTTGTATATTTAGAACAAGTGAGTTTAGATGGTACTCTCTTGGTTATAATTTCTGTGATCTTTGTTTTAAAAGCATGCCACATCGATTCAATGTCTGTGTATGGGGTGTTCTGGAATTCGGTTGCTAGAGTACGGGTGTCTTCTTTGATGGCATTAAGGTCCGCCTTTTTCCATAGTAATATTTTCCGTCTTGCTGGGCGTGGATGGTATGTTTGGATCGAAGTGTCGAGGAGCACAATGTCATGATCGCTGTTCCCTATCGAGGGCATAGGTTTACATCTCATCTTGAAGCTGGGGTGGGTGGTCAGGATCAGATCTAGTACCTTGTCTTTCCTGGTTGGAAAATCCACTAATTGTTCTAGGTTGGAGTCAGCTATCATATCTAGGAAGTGTTTGCTGGTGCTCTGTGGGTACTGTGATCCAGATATGTTAAGAGTTTTCCAATCTATGTCTGGTAAATTGAAGTCTCCCCCAATAATAAATATGCTGTTCTTCGATTTGGGCTTCAAAGTTCTAATCTCTTCTGTTGATTTTGAGAGGTATTCAGAATCAGTCCTGTTTGGTGGTCTGTAGTAGGTTGCTATTGTGATGTTTTTGGATCCTGACTTGATGGTGCCACTAACCAGTTCTGTGTTACTGCTCTTGTAAATGTTGTGTAGCAGGAGATGGTGTTTTGCCGCTATAAGGACTCCACCATGGGGGTTTTCAGGTCTGTCTCTCCGCTGTATGTCATAGCCAAGGTCACTTGGCAGTATTTCGCTAGAGGCCACTTGACTGTCCAGCCAGGTTTCGGTGCCTAAAATAACATCTGGGTCGCAGTCTAGTATGATTGACTCAAGGAGTTTCCCCTTTTTACGTAGGCTCTGGAAGTTTATATTAAGAATGCGTAGCATGTTTTTCTTCGCGGTGGATTTGGCTGAGGTTTGCTGAGGCTTAGGTGAGGAGGTAATTATGTTTGCACCAGAGAGGTTGAAGGTAGAGTTGCTGTGTTCAGTACTCACGCTAGATCTGGACTGCATTGATATATCTGAAACACTGTATGAAAAAGAGGGGTTGGGTTGATCATCTGTATGGTCATCAGCTACGACTGAATATACTATTGAGGAGTTGTTTGGTTTGTTGCAAGATGGGCATGACCAGGTGTCTGTGCTCTCTCCGAGTCTGCTATACATGGTGGTAGACATACCCAGGCAGGCTTTATGTATCCACTGGTCGCAGTCATCACAGGCTATAGCACGTTGCTCCATTTATGCATTTATGGTGCAGTATACTGGTCCAGAGGTAAATAATAACATGCACGTCCATTAACTATTCAGTCAGTCCATATTTTCATATATTTTTTCTTCTACAATGATGGATGGTTCTGTCTGGATTGAAAAATTGAGAAGTATTTTAAAGATATTTAGCGGGGTAAAGGTTAAACAAACTAATATTACCAATCTGACTTTGGCTCAACGGTGAGAAAAGCTTGAAGCTTATTTTGAAATATTCCTGGATTTTTAACCAGTTCAGCTAGGTGTCCTATATGAAGAAACATGGTTGTATATTGCCAGTAGGGTTGGAATCCACGACCTCTAGATTGAGAGGCCTGACATTGAGTAACTTTCAGCCACCACTTCACATCTAATTTAAACGCATGACTTCTTACGGTGTGAGCGAAAAAATGTAAAAACGGAGACGCATGCTGATTTTTTAGTCTTGCAAGGCGGAAATATACGGTATGTAACGGTTTTTACGGCATATATATTGTTTATAGATGACAGCGATATTATTTTTGATCGCTTCGTGTGAGGGTTTATGCGTTCCTTTATAATTTCGTAAGAGAAATCGAGATGGAAGAATACGCACGTGATCCATGGTTTGTGTTTAACACTCTTATTTTTTGTTTTTGTTATGTAAGATACATTTAATTGATTTGATATCAGCTATATTTACATTTTTAAACATATTTAGCACGTAGTTTCACCGCCGATTAAAAGTTTTGTGTCACCGAACTTGGAGGTCATGTTAATAACCGGTGGGTGGGGTAATTATACAACAACTGTTGACACATCAATGGCATCTGCTTCAATATGAAAGAATGCAACTTTGTACGAAACGATATATTTAGCTTATTTTAGAAATTTAGAAGTAATTGGTGAACGTGTATCTCAAATTCAGACATTTATAATATCACATGTCTACCTGACATAATTTTTGAGAATTGACTATGTAAGATGATTTATTTTGATGATATCATCATATTTTTTATAATGTGAGACGAAGCAGTACTGGATTGCTCTTTATAAAATGCTTTCAGTAGTAAATAAAATGAAATTAAGATGGCTGTTGTGGAATTTTTATGAAGACTGATGCAATGTTTAAATTTTGAAAGTGGCTAGCTTTACCATAGCAAATTCCGTCCCGATTCCACCTCAAATACGCCCGTAATATGCTCTTTATTTAACTTGTTCAGATAACTTTTATTCTGGACAGAATCTGTGTGCTAATTCTGTTTCATTTCCGGGCGGAACATTTCGTACAGGTGACAAGGGCAGGCAAGCCAAAAGTTCTTCCTGTATGTGAGTCATGAACGGCTAACCAGTACACATAGTATTGTCTAGCCGTATGGCACTGTCAGAAGTCGAAAATGTTTAAGTTATTTTTTGTCTTTAAAAAGAGGATTTTAACCAAGAACCGGCTTTTGTATCTTTTCGTTCTTCTCATACTGAACATAATGTGCAAGTTTGTGTACTTTAATGAAGATGCCCCACCATTTCGTAAAAAACAAAAAAGAATACGAAGGAAATTACGTTACAAAGTACATTGTATATGCGTTGAAAAATTATATGATTTTATAATAAGAAGTTTTTTAAAGTAATGTCCTGTTTGCAGAAACTTGAGAAAGACACTAACAGTAGGGACATTCATATTAAATATGTTTTGTTTGTTTGTTTCATTTTACGCCTTTTCCAAACAGTATTTCAGTCATATAGGCAGGTAGTTTCCTAACCATCGTTCCTGGAGAGTTACACCAGTACTAGACTACCTTCCTCCGTGCTAAACTACCAAAGCATCTCCCGGGGATCGAACACATGCCAGAGAGGTAACTGGATTAGAAGTCATCGACTCTAACCCCTTGACCACGGAGGCGTTGAATCTTATAATCATCAGTCTAACTAATGTGACATGCCTCAGTTAGTAAAAGACATTATCAGAAATTTTCAGTGGCCTTACATCTATCATATATATCATTACTAGAGTTCAAGAAGTTATTATTATATTTTCAGCCCATGGCGTATAGTAGATGATTGTGGTGGTGCATTTTCTATGGGATTGTTGGGAGGTTCAGTGTTCCATGGTATCTCAGGATTTAGAAATGCACCAAGTGTAAGTATACAAGACACTGAAAATGAAAGTGAATTGTCCGTAAGATTCAGTCTCAAGCAACATAACACTAATTTCTTTATTGAAAATTTTTGTCTTAAATGTTATTATAAATAGATGTACTATCTTGTAGTTCAACCAAATGTTTGCCAGATTAATATAACCTATACTCATTCTTTGTTTTATTTTATTTCAGGGAAACTATAGGCGTTTATATAGCTCCATATCTAATATTAAAGCAAAAGCACCAATAACAGGAGGTAGGTTCATTCACACATCTTTTATTTTCATCATATCAGGTGAACATAAGTCTAATGATAAAAGTCAAATGGCTCATTTTCTCCCATTATTGATTAGGAAAAGGAAATCATGTGAGATTAATAGTCTGTCTGACAGTCATTTGTGGAGAAGTGGTCAATTACTGGTTAGATAACCTGAGGAAAGTCAATTAGGTGGACCAATTGCTGAGCTATGACCGAAGATGTGTGGGGGAAAATGCCGTGACCAAAAAAGTGTTTGAATACATTTAAAAAGTATGCACACTATGACCAAAAATGTGTATGAAGTGTGTTAAGGTTATAAATTTATTAAGTAGTTACATTATAAGATCTGTTTATGTAAAATCATGCAATATAGAAATATTATTTTTGAATTGAAATAATGGGAGTTGTTTCATCATGTTTTGGCATACATGTACATCATGAAAGAAATGAGTCATTGCCCTAAAATTATCTGCAGTTCAAGTATTTCATCATTTTCCTTCGGATGATTTGCCACTTGGGGTTTATACATATCATGGAAGTTTATGATGTTGTAAATGCTGTTTGCAAATTTGGAATGTGAAAATTATTTTGTTTGTTCATTTCACAATTTAATATTACCATGTATCTGGAGGCTGGCTGATTTAATTGGTCAAAAATTAAACCTTGAATCATACTGTGATATCAAGGCATTTCATATTACGGCAATGATGTTGTTAATATTTAAATAACCTTGCTGTTTTGATTGACAGGAAACTTTGCTGTTTGGGGAGGACTGTTTTCAGCAATAGATTGTTCATTAGTTTATGTAAGAAAAAAGGAAGACCCATGGAATTCAATAACAAGCGGTGCCTTAACAGGAGCTATTTTATCAATAAGAAGTAAGTTTAATATCCAAGGATTAAGATTTGATGGTAAAATATTCAAATACCTGAATGATAAACAAGATGTAGGGGCATCCATGGCCAAATGGTTACGGTTCTTGAATTCAAACCACTTGCCTCACTGCTGTGGGTTCAAAACTGCCAGGGACTTAGTATCCTTTTATGTGAGGAAGTTATCCAGCTACCTTATGGAACATCAGTGGTTCTTCTTGGGTGCACATTTGTGCCTGAAATAATGCATTGAAGGGCACTTGAGGTCTTTCTTTGCCAGTAAAGCTGGAAAGTCGCTATATGATCTCTACAGTATTGATGCAACTTAAAACATGAGATATACAAAAATAACAAACAAGAAGCCTCTGAAAATCTTTTTGTATGGAAGGTTTGAATTGTAATGTTTACTTGTGATCGGACTAAACCTATGGAATTTATTAAAGTGCATATGAAAAAGTGAAGGAATTTAACATTGCAGGGATATTTATATTTTGATGTAGTCATTAACACTGTTTCTATGTATTTCATAATAGAATAAATGGAAAGCTATAGGTATAGTGAAGTTCATATACAGTAATGTCTGTTATGGATTGAAATGTGCATTGATAAGAAAGACATTATTATGTGAACATGAGAGCTTTTCTCCATAATAGAATCAAATGATTTAACTAAAAAATCAATTCATAAAATTGTTAAGACGTTGTATACAATTTTCACAAAAAAACTACAATATTCACAAAAACATACATAACCATTCATTTTTAAATGAATTTTTCAGAGGGTAAAGCCACAATGCTAGGGTCAGCAGTTGTTGGTAAGTGACAAACATTTCACTTCTATCTATCTTCCATTAATGTCAAACCCCTTGCGTGGATGTAGATATGACTCTAGACTAGTCACTTGAGAGACAGCTATGAGATACAAGGGAATCCGGAAACCAGTCCCTAGCTCTTATTGAATAGACAGACCCCTTGGTTCTTTCACATGCCCAGTTCATAGCACTGATACATGTGAGGATTACCTGGATTTCTTACCAGTACACCTCTAGTTAGGTTGGAAACACTGCAAGTGTTTCTGAAAAATCCCTTGGGTGTTACCCAGGATCGAACCCGGGACCTCAGGAGTGACAGCCATTGGTCTAACCAACTGAGTTATGGCGCCACCTACCTTATTATTATCGACTTTATTGGAAATATATGTAATTACACATAAATTTTTCAGAATGACATATGAATATAAGGCTGATGTCTGTAGTTTATTGTACGACATCTTAAAATTGAATTTGTAAAGATTTAAGAACTTGTTTAAGATATATCTTAACATTTACGCATGTTTGTATGTTACAGGTGGTGTTTTATTAGCAATGATTGAAGGAATTGGTATTATCATTACACGATATACAGCCGAACAATTTAATCCAGGTATGATGATTTTAAATAAGTCAAAGTGGTGGCATGGCCACGTGGGTTCAAACCCTATTATGGGCAAGCCGTTGTTTCCATGAGCAATTAATATTACACTTATTTCTTACTTAGTACTGGTTGTTTTCAGGGACAGATTTGAGAGTGTTTTATTCAGCTTATAGGTTCCAACTCGGTCAAACTTGAATAAATTCATATAAACATAGCAAAATCCATCAGTCCTCATAGTTGTAATCTGAATGTACAAATACTATTCTTGTAAGACATTCCTGTCAATATACATGGATAAGGTGCTGAAAAAAGATATTTATAAGTCATGCAATGCTGCTTTTGCAAAAAGAGGACCAGTGTTGGTATAAAACTCGGGTCCATTAAACCCAATATCAAAAGTGGTTTTGTAAATGCTCCATTTCATGCATATCTTTCTTTCCAAAAGCATCAAAAATAATGTTAAACCTTTACATTTTTAGCTCACCTTGCACAAAGTGCAGGTGAGCTTTTAGGATGGCCAACCAAATGGCGTCCGTCTTCCGTCCACATTTTAAATATTCTAAGGACATCTTCTATGATACCGCAAGGCCAATGTTAATGAAACTTGGCAGGAATACTCTTTGTATGAAGCTCTATCAAGTTTGTTCAAAGAATTCCATTTCATGCAGAACTCTGGTTGCCATGGCAACCGAAAGAAAAATCTTTAAATATCTTCTTTTAAAGAACCGTAAGAGCTAGAGCTTAGATATTTGGCATGAAACATCTTCTAATGAGTGTCTACCAAGTTTGTTCAAATAAAAGCCCTAGGGTCAAAATTGGCCCCGCCCCAGGGGGTCATTGATTTTCCCTATATGCATATAGTAAAAACTTAAAAAATCTTCATTTAAAGAACCCAAAGAGCTAGAGCTAAGATATTTGGCATGAAACATCTTCTAGTGAGTGTCTACCAAGTTTGTTCAAATAAAAGCCCTGGGTCAAAAATTGGCCCCGGCCCGGGGGGTCATTGATTTTCTCTATATGCATATAGTAAAAACTTAAAAAATCTTCTTTTAAAGAACTGTAAAAGCTAGAGCTTAGATATTTGGCATGAAACATCTTCTAGTGAATGTCTACCAAGTTTGTTCAAATAAAAGCCCTGGGGTCAAAATTGGTCCCGCCCCAGGGGTCATTGATTTTCCCTATATGCATATAGTAAAAACTTAAAAAATCTTCTTTTAAAGAACTCAAAGAGCTAGAGCTAGGATATTTAGCATGAAACATGTTCTAATGGGTGTCTACCAAGTATGTTCAAATAAAAGCCCTGGGGTCAAAACTGGCCCCGCACCGGGGGTCATTGATTTTCCTCATATGTGTATAGCAAAAACTTAAAAATCTTCTTTTAAAGAACTGTCAAAGCTAGAGCTTAGATATTTGGCATGAAACATCTTCTAGTGAATGTCTACCAAGTTTGTTCAAATAAAAGCCCTGGGGTCAAAATTGGTCCCGCCCCAGGGGGTCATTGATTTTCCCTATATGCATATAGTAAAAACTTCAAAAATCTTCTTTTAAAGAACTCAAAGAGCTAGAGCTAAGATATTTAGCATGAAACATGTTCTAATGGGTGTCTACCAAGTATGTTCAAATAAAAGCCCTGGGGTCAAAACTGGCCCCGCACCGGGGGTCATTGATTTTCCTTATATGTGTATAGCAAAAACTTAAAAATCTTCTTTGAAAAAACCCAAATAGCTTGAGTTTAGATATTATACATGAAACATCTTTAAGTAAATATCTACAAAGTTTGTTCAAATAAAAGCCCGGGGGTCAAAACTGGCCCTGCCCCAGGGGTGTCATTGTTTTTAACTATATGTGTATAGTAAAAACTTAAAAAATCTTCTTTTAAAAAACCCAATGAGCTAGAACTTAGATTTTAGCATGAAACATCTTCTCATGGGTGTCTACCAAGTCTGTTCAAATAAAAGCCCTGGGTAAAAATTGGCCCGGGGGAGGGGGGGGCTATATACAGGTGAGCGACCTCAGGGCCATCATGGCCCTCTTGTTATAAGTGATAGTGAACATTTTTCATGTAAGAATTTAGCTACAATTTTTGTGTGTAGTTGTAAGACATGTTTTATTTTTCATTTCAGCCAATGCCATTATGGAAGATCCATCTCAACTTCCTTCTAAACCACCAATTGGTTTTGGTTCAATGGATCAACCACATCAAGGCAATTATCAATGACAGGGAGCTAACTCTAGTGATTCTAACATTTAGTATTGATTACCTCTCTTGGCTAAAGTTGAAATGCTATGGAGCACTGATACAACTGCACTTGTGTTTAGAAGTAACTGCCAGTTTAACCAGTGTGACGCTATATCATTTTAATATCTCGTAAGCTATGTGTCTAGGACATGATAAGCTACATGTGATAACGAAAGAATGATAAATCAAATCATTGCTACGTTATGTTATTATACATTTTAAACATCCTGGGGTCACTAGAGTTATATCGTTGGTATATGGGCAGTTAAGGTTCTCGTTCTGCCTCATGATTGGCTGAACCAAGGATAGAGGGCAGTGCTTTGTCACATTGCACGGTAAATTAGATACAAAAGATTGTATCATAACCATAGGATTAATTTAGGTATAGATATTTTTCATTTGAAGCAGAATTTAAAAAAAAATTTACAGTTCCAACAGAAATTTAATGCCCATTAAATAAATTGGTAAATTTTTTTTTGGCTTCTTTGGTAATGCTTAAATTTTTTTCATTCTTTAAGGTTTTGTTTGTTTAATGCATGAGAACACTATAGAAAAGTTGTGTGATAAAGGTATTTGTACCTCTGTGTGTAAAGGTACAAGATATCTTGTCAGTGCTTCGTAAACTTATTGTATAGACATCATTATTTCACAGTTCATTTTTCACCCATCATATTATCTAAAAAGCATTTTGATTAAAAGATTTATAAACGTTTGGTTGTGTGTTTTATGACCACTTTTTAGCTCGACTTTTCTATGAAAAGGGGAGCTATCCTACTCGCCCCGGCGTCGGCGTCACACCTTGGTTAAGTTTTTCGTACCACCCCACTTTATTTCAGAAGTATTACAAGTATGGCTTTGAAACTTACCATACTTGTTCACCATCATAACCTCCATCTACAGACAAGAGTACATAACTCTGTCAAGGTTTTTGACAGAATTATGGCCCTTTTTTGACTTAGAAAGTGTATTGAGCTTGGTTAAGTTTTTTGTACCACCTCACTTTATTTCAAAACCATTGGAGGTATTGCTTTGAAACTGACCATACTTGTTTACCATCACGACCTTCATCAACAGACAAGAGGACATAACTCTGTCAAGGTTTTTGACAGAATTATGCCCCTTTTTGACTTAGAAAATACATTGAATATGGGTAAAATCCACTTATTGCCTTAACCCTTTGAGATATTGCTTTGAAACTTTTAATGCTATTTCACATCATTACCCCCATCTGTACGCAAGAGAAGGTAACTCTGTCAAGGATTTGTTTTAAAAATTAAGGCCTTTTATCGACTTAGAATCTTGGTTAAGTTTTTAGTACCAGTCCACTTTTTGACTGAACTGTTTGAGATATTAATTTGAAAGTTGGAATACTTGTTTACAATCATGATTCCCAAACATGTCCTGGAGAAGGTAATTCTGTCAAAGATTTTATTTGAATTATGGCCCTTAACTGTCAATGTTTTGTATTATAGGCAAGCACTAAAAAACTTAAAAAATCTAAAAAAATTCATTCCTATCCACTTGTTCACTTTACCATAAATTATGTCATATAAACATTGCTGTAATATTCAAGGGTATCAAACAACTAGTTTTTTTTTCTTTCTTACCAGCCCTCTTTTGACTTAAACATTTCAAACTTTGCTGCAGTGTTCAAGGGTATCACACAATTCAGTAAAATAATTCTTCACTAAATATCTTAATGCTCATGGCCATTGTTCACTTTAAAAATACAGAGATTCTTGTATTGCCTTTTACTGCAAAAACTTTTTTTATTGGCAAGCAATAAAAAAGTCGAGCGCGCTGTCTTACGGACAGCTCTTGTTTAAGATGCACTGAATGTTACTGAATGTTTTTAAGTCTAATAATGTTAAGATTTTTTTTAGGTCTATAACTTTAGTACAGAGGTGACATGATAATTTTATATTACATATTATCAAGTGGTGTATTCATGATTAAGATTTAGCTAACATGTGCTGGAATGTATTATTTTAATATTTTTGTCATTGAAGGTTTTGACATATACATAACAGCATTTGTAAATGACGGTCAAAGCTGATGTTTTAGCTTTTGTTTCGGACATCAGGCAGTCTAGGTAATGGAATATGAAGGCTCTATCCAGGTGCCCATTCATGATTGAAATAGTGCATAGAGGGGCACTGGAGGTCTTCCTCCACCAGTAAAGCTGGAAAGTCGCCATTTGACCTTTACAATGCCATCAAACAGGCAGCATGGGTCTGTGTTACTGATATTGTTTCATTCGGTCTCTTCGCTTTAAAATTATCTTCTTTTTTATTTGAATCTCTATGTATCTATCATAAGTTAAAGAATAGGTACTTTAGAGAACCTTAGTATGTATGATTGAAAATTATTTAATGTTAAAATATTGATGACAAATGGACATATTTGATTGTAAATATGTATAGTTTTTCAAATAGAACAAACTTAAATTGTATTAAATGTATAACTACACATTGTATTTTATGTGGAGTAATGCCGAAAGTGTGTTTTATTTGATTGTAATGATAAATGAATAATTGGTTACTATTTGTTGAATTTTTAAAATAAAATATAGAAACAAGATACATTTCCTGTTTTTTGTATGTGATAAGTTGAGTAAGAAGACAGACAGGTCTAGGTACCTAAGGTTTATGTATTCTGCTTCTAGATTCGGACAAGGCATGTTGTACCAAAGATTTACTGATCGACAATTTTATTTATGCATTAGTCAATTGAAACCCAAGCCCCCGCCCCCCAGGCAAATAGTAGGTACATTGATTTAAGTGTCAAACCTAGTTAAGATCACATCCTACAAGGACAGTTGGATGGTTCAATGCCTTCATACAAGGAGTTACATAAGTTTAAGTGCCAAACAAAACTATTGGACTGGCAGTGTTTGTGAACTTTATATTTCCTCTACACTTGAAGAGTTCTTAGTTACTTGAAGAAAAACATTTGTACTGACCTCTGGAACACAGGTATATTGCTGAAAAATATGACAAAAACAAATATAACTCGTAGGTTATATTGAAATATTTAAAGGGCTCCCTCTTTGCTTGGTGTATAATATTGCTTTAAAGGTTGTTGGTTACAGTGGTACCCCTCTAAACTAGTCTTGCTCCAGTACCTTTTATATTACCCTGATGAAAAGGCAGCATGGGATATGGCAATAGTTTGTCAAGCTTTTTTGTCTGAAGCTCAAGTATTTTAGATATCAGTTAGAAACTTCATAGTTGGTTAGATTCCATTGAAGAGGAGTGCAGTGCTAAAGAATGATAACTCCACCTTAGCCCTTTGTTATTTTAATTTTTGTCTGGAGTCTTCGCTTTGCTATTTTTTTTACTTCTTTGTCTGTAGCTTTACTCAAAAAGTATTTGAGATATAAACTCGAAACTTTATTCATTTTTGGTAGTTATATTTTAGATCTATTTTTAGGGTGGAATGGGTGCACAAAAGTGATAACTCTTCATTTCATAATTTTTGAGTTATTGTTATTTCTCATGTTGAACATCTGGTAGAAGTTTAACATGAAAACTTTTTTGGAATACAAGTTGACACTTTATAGTTGGATAGATTCCATTGATTATGATTGCAGTGTACAAGTATGATAACTCTTCACTTCATTCTTTTGAAGTTATTGTTTGACCTTTGTTTCTTTGCTTGCATAATTCTTGCCCAGACCTTAACTCATAAAGCTTTATATACAGATTAATTTAAAACTTCATTGCAGGATAGATCACAGTAAGAACAAATGCATTTGACAAGAATGACAACTCTACATCATTATTTGGGAGTTATATCCAGGCCTCGACACTAACTTTTTTAGCAGGTGGTATGCCGGACCACTAGATTTGAAAGTTAGGTGGTCCTTCCAGAAGTCAGGTGGTCAGTTATCATTATTATATCATTTTACTGCAAATGTACAAAAAAAATGTTTAAACTTTATGACAAAGATGTATTATTAACCTTTAAAGAGAGCAGATATTTTTAGATATATAATTTTCATCTAATCAGAAAAGGGAGAGCAAGTCAGTAGGTATTTTATCGTAGAGTTATTTGTTTATTTGTTTTTATCTGAGTCAAAAATACACAGCAGAGCTCTTATTTATGTTATCTTTTATATTAATGTGATTTCTCCCTCAACTCAAGTTAGGGAATATATAGTGAAGCCATTTGTGTCTGTTATTTTCTTACTGTTATTCAAATATCCATTGCTGATACGTGGTATGTCTTATAATCATGATTATAAATAACATAGCATCTTTTATAGATTAACATTTTTAATGGAACTAATAAATTATCTTATTCTTGTCTTTGAAAACAAGGAAATATATAAATTATTAAAATAATGACAACGTTATTATTTACTATAACTTATCTTATTTTTCTCACATATTTATATTTTCTCACATATTTATAATACATAATTTTACCTCCCTGTTGCTTGTTATTTGATATTCATTTTTGACATTAGGTATTTTTAACCTTTTAAAATAATTTTAACTCTAGAAGAAACAGATCTCTTATCGTTAAACAGTTAAAATAAAGATAAATAGCATATAATTACTAGATGTATTTTTTCCAGTTCCTTTCGTTTGCTGCCGTTATTCAAATATCTGAAATTTAAGTTTATCCAATATCATATAATTACCATCATCGGATACTCCCGGTTGATTAATATGTAACATAACATAAAATGTTAATGGTTCCGCCGTGGTAATCAGACAATGCATAATTACTAGCACCATTTGAATGAATTTTGTACCTAAATTTATATCACAAATTCTTAACTCTTTTAACTTGCATAAACAAAATTTTAGCGACTTAAAATGAAAGTTATTGATGACTTAAGAACTTCTGTAACTAATCAGAGATTAATGAACCATATACATGTACATCGGACATAGATTAATGATTTTAAACAAAAGTATATAACATGTTTTTGACCAAATCGCCATTCTCCCAAATAAGCCTTGTATCAACCAGAAAATTCAAGTGGTCCGACGGACCAGTGGGTTTTAAAATTAGGTGGTCCTTGCCAAAACCAAGTGGTCTCGGACCAACGGACCACCGCTAATGTCGAGGCCTGATATCCCTTTGTTTTTTTTTTGTTTTCTTTCATGCTTTATTTGCAATTTTTACTTTTTTTTTAATCAGGCTATATAACTTTTATAAATATTGAAGATATATCAGCTTTAAACTTTATAGGGGAATGGCTCTAATATACCACAGCATTGTACTTTTTGGGTTATTGCCCTTTGATGGGTATATAAATATGTCATTGTGTACAATTGGACTATTCTCATGTCTCCTGTTTGGCAGGGTATTTCACAGACTACTCCTTGTTTCCTCTTAACATAATTTACCCATCATACCTTGATGACACCATTTCTTTCCGGAAACTGGCTGATTCTAAACACCATTAGATAAACCAAAATAATGTATGAATAAAATTATCAGTCTATACTCATGTCTCACAAACATTTTGAGAATTTGTGCAATATTTAATATTTGTATTTTAAAATTCACATTGATTGTAGAAAGGCTGAGCCTTTTTCTAAATATAAATAGAATAAAATTATGAATACTGTTTGAACTTGTTAAAGTACTTTTACAATAAAAAGTGATTTTATTTTATAAATAAGAAATTTTGATACAGATGTTTGCCAGCAAGCTTACAAGGAAGAGCATCTGATGGATAATCTAGGGGTCTCTGGTTTGATCCTTGGGCAAGACATATTTACTCTCAGATAATAAATCTAATGGTCTTTCGGCTCTCACTACTTACTTAGAAATCATGTTGGATAAGTAGGTTGTCTTGTGCAGAGAAATTATTAATTACTGGTTATTAATATACACAAATGGTTAGGTGGAAAGACCATCGGTAAATCATTACCAATAAGTTGTGTTAAAACTGACAAACAAAGCAGAAAAACAAATATACAATATTAGTTAAGATTATGTATTTGCATTAATGTTCATTTGAAAATAAGCAATGATATTTACCCTACCTTTTTTTCTTATTTTCCTGTGACATAATTGCAATTATTAAACAAATTCTAAATATTAAAACACTTTGTTAAATTCTTAAAGAAAACTATGATAGCATGCATTAATGCATAAGAGAGCTAGGTATTGTCCCCTTTATAATGTTAGTTCAGAAGAAAAAGAAACAAGAGAAACAACTTGTGCTACATATTAATTGGTTTTGAAGAAAAGTTGTCTCCCTTGTATTACCTTTTTTTAAGTGCAAAAAAGTATTTTTCATTGTTTTTTTATGGTCAGTAATTTCTGTATAATTATATTTATGTATTCAATACATATGTTTTGTAATGCACTCACAATACACTTGACAGACCAAAAAATCAGTTAATTCAAAGCATAATTTGTACTTTATCTGTAATTTGCAAGATTGCATTAATTATCTATCACATTTTCATGTAAGAAATCTTATTTTAGAAAGATGTCAAGACTTTTTACAATCCTAGTTTACAAAATTGTACAATCTTAAAAAGTTGGTTGACTTTAAGGACTGAATAACCTTCAAAGGAGTTCAAGCTATTTCAGTGTAGATTTTGAGAGAGATAAATCTTTTAAAATGTTACTTTAGTTTTTACAGATTTTTTTTACTGATTATCTCGCAGATAGTTCATGTTTTTTTAAGTCAGTCATTCGTGTTAAACACATAATAGTTAAATTTTGATACTCTAGTTATGGTGTTAAAATCACAGGCTTTCCTAAATTAACATCTAAATAAACAATGTACCTTGTTTTTTAATGAGTTGTTACAAAAAAAAAGAAAAAAAAAATCAAGTTTTCTTTTGTACATTAAATACAAGATGAGGATTTGTTAGCTTATTTGTGCCAAAATCTGACCAAAGCTCAGATCTAATATATTACACATGAAGCCTGGCATTATTTAGAAGCTAATTAAATTGTGCCTACCTTGCAGGTTAAAGAAGTCAAACTGTTTTATTTCTCAAAGGTGTCATTATTTTAGTATCAATTATTTTTGCTTATTATTAATATCAATTAAATTTTAAATAAAAAATGGTATTAACGAAAACTTGTTTAAGTTTAGATGATGCATATTGTCTATTTTTGAAGACAAATGTTTAGCATGTTTACTAAGTACAATACTAGCAGGAATTATCGGATATGCTTTGAACTTGGCCTAAAATACTTATTAATACAGCACACACGCAAACATACATTCCACAAAATAAACTAAAAAAGTGAAATACTTCACATAAACAATAAATTTACATTGCTAATTATGACTATTACATACATTGTAACATATGTTTGTTAGGGGAAAAACAATCATGGCATGCATATGTTGACATTCCACTAATTCTTAACCTGAAGGAAATACAAGTTTTATGGATTCTTTTTTGTGTAACAGATGTGCATACAATAATGCCATCGTCATAGCACCAGTTACCAAACTATAAAAAAAATGTTGTGATGTGTAAAAAAAAGCCGTGCATAAAATGTAGTGGTAGGCTGGTAAATCCTTGGTGTAAAAAATGTCTTGAAAGCACATATGCTACAATGGATGAACCAAGATAACAAACATTATTGAAAGCATCATCGTTTTGCATAGACTGTTGACACAGCAAATGCACATAGTATGTGCATATGAAGATTGACGAGTGTATAAAATTCCAATTCTAAGGCAGTCTGAATTTATTACTTACAAATTGTGTCTGCATTTTTGTTTAGATGAATTTATATAAATTTGTTAAATTCAGTTGTATTAATGTATGGTAGTACAGACATGCCATTGTGCATCCTCATTTCATTTATTTCAAAACTTAAATAACACCATAGACATAATTATGCTCTTAATTGAATTTGTTATGAATGTTTTCTTTCAAGCCTGTTGAATTCCACAGTAAAAATGTATGTAATTATAGGAAACATCCATAAACTATTTTCTATAATGAACTTCAACTCCTCAGTACATGTATTTAAAAAAAATCAACTCTTCCTAAATTTCAAGTCTTTGCTTACTAGTATTTCTGGGGAAAAATCACTATTTCCCCTAATTTTCAAGGCTTAGTTGGTAGTCCCTGCAATGATTTTATTGTATGTTGAAAGCGATGTTATGTTAGACTGGTATGTTGTTATGTTCTATTTAGAGTAATGTTATACTAGTCTGTTATTATGTTGAACTCAGTGTTATGTTAGACAGGTCTGTTGTTATGTTGAAACTGGCATTATGTTAGACTGGTATGTTGAACTCGATGTTCTGTTAGACATGTCTGTTATGTTGAACTCTATGTTCTGTTAGACATGTCTGTTATGTTGAACTCTATGTTCTGTTAGACATGTCTGTTATGTTGAACTCGATGTTCTTTTAGACATGTCTGTTATGTTGAACTCAATGTTCTGTTAGACATGTCTGTTATGTTGAACTCAATGTTCTGTTAGACATGTCTGTTATGTTCTACTTGGTGTTCTGTTAGACATGTCTGTTATGGTCTACTTGGTGTTCTGTTAGACATGTCTGTTATGTTGAACTCAATGTTCTGTTAGACATGTCTGTTATGTTAAACTCAATGTTCTGTTAGACATGTCTGTTATGTTGAACTTGATGTTCTGTTAGACATGTCTGTTATGTTGAACTCAATGTTCTGTTAGACATGTCTGCTATGTTGAACTTGATGTTCTGTTAGACATGTCTGTTATGTTGAACTTGATGTTCTGTTAGACATGTCTGTTATGTTCTACTTGGTGAAATGTTAGACATGCCTCTTGTTATGTTCTTCTCTGTGTTATGTTATGATTTACTTGGTGCTATTTTAGACAGGTCTGTTGACATGTATTACAACAAGCAGTTATCTCCGAGATTTAAAGTAGGCCATTTTGAAAAGGAATCATTATCATATAAGGATGGGACATGAAGATAGATTAATGATTTATTTACATTTAACGGCAAATTGTTCTCTATGTTTCAAATTTTTTGTGCATAGCTTGGTATATGGTTGAAATTGTAACAAAAAATGCAAGGAGGGTCACATACGATTGTCATGTGACCAATGACTAGTTATGTTCATGTCATGAATCAAACTTGCAACTTCCTCATAGAAGCTTAAACAATGTCATCAATTTCTGGGTTCCTTTGCATCAGTGCAAAACCACCAAGTATATATTAAACACATGTATATTCGATTTAACAATAACAAGAGGGCCTAGATCGCACACCTGACTCATCGAACTTGTCCGAGCAATTACAAGCATCCTGACCAAGTTTGATTAAAGCAAGAAATAAACAAAAACAAAATTGAGCATTTGTACATTTTATTTACTTTTGTACATTTAACAATAAACTTTACATATTTTTTTTCATAACTTTTAACTATAAGACAAGATAAGAAGACTTCTTAAACACTTTCCTCAGAGAATTGCATTATCTTAAAATCCATTATGATTTGAGCCACGTCACGACAAAACCAACATAATGGGTTTGCGACCAGCATGGATCCAGACCAGCCTGCGCATCCGCGCAGTCTGATCAGGATCCATGCTGTTCGCTATCAGTTTCTCTACTTGTTATAGGGTTTTTAAGCGAACAGTATGGATCCTGATCAGACTGCGCAGATGCGCAGGCTGGTCTGGATCCATGCTGGTTGCAAACCCATTATGTTGGTTTTGTCACGGCACAGCTCTTATGATTTTTTTTCCCTCAAAATTAATGTTGGATTGCAGGTAATTTGTTTATGTAATAAGTCACAAGTTTCAATTTGACAATTTCAAAATGTAAATATAAGCTTTATAAGAAATAATCTTTAGTGTCAAAACATTAGATAATTAATGATATATCTAAGTTATTTAAATAATCATAATTTCATTTTATTTGCAATAAAAGGGTAAGTTTGCCCTCTAAAGATTACCCCATTAACTCATAAGACTATAAAAATTAAATCAATTTTACAAAATCAAGCAATTAGGATTGATTTATATCAGTTAGGTACAATATACGGTATCATTCATTTCAGGTTATTACACCAGCTGTCGGGTTTAGAAATATTCCCATCTTCCTGTCAAAACCCTTTTAACAAATGACATTCTGTATTTTGTTGATATTTCAAAATTACTGTTATGGTACAGTATAACAGTTAAAAAAGACCACCTCCTAGAAAAGACCTTATAGCATAAATAGTCTTTTGAGGCCAGCAATAAAACAGCAGAATTTGATTTTTTTTCTTTCCTTTTTTTAAATCTATATAGGTTGATTAAAAATACAATAATTATCATACTAATACATCACAATACATTCAAACATGACAGTTTTATGGTGATGTTTCTATTTTTGTCAAGCAATGGTAGTACTAAAATAAAGAATCTAAATAGAATTCAGAGCATTATCTAATTATTTAATAACTGATTATCTTTCTTTGTTAATTTTATCCCCAAACTGATACTGGTCTTCTACATTCCTGATTGACAAAGACAGACAGACAGTTTATAATAACAATTCTCTAAGAGAAGCCTTCAAGTGAAGTTAGACAATTTTTGTGAACGACCTTTTTTAATTAATAAACAATTTATAATTTTCATTCAACACAGATATATACTCTTAAATGCCCAAGTTCTAATAACATAACTAATTCCTTCTCGCATAACAATAATAAGCAAGCTCGTATCGTTAGGTAAGGTACTTCTAATATTTTTTTCCAGGAGAATGGCCTGCTTACAAATAAACCACTTCACTACACATGTCAAATTAAATATGCAAACTCAATCATAACACAAAACATACCCATATAATGACAATGCCATGTAATCTTGGCATATTTGCACATTATTTTTTCTTCTAAGGCAAACTAATTGCATTGTTACACTTAATAATAAAAACACCATTCATGTAACTTTTCCCTCATAGATATATCCACAATTTAAACAAGCTTTATCCTTGGAACTCCCATGATCCTTCATGGTTCAGCTATTCTGTTACAGAGAAAATGCTGCCAAACTTTTACGTAGCAATTCCATCAAGTTCTATCGTAACAAGCCCTTTTTGCAACACATTTTCGGAACACATTTTCATGTTTTTGAACCATACTCGTGGCTGATTGTAGACTACTGACCATTTTAAAATTTGTTTGTTTTTAAATTTCTTTTACAAAGTTTCATGTTGATAATAACGGTCCACTATGTGACTGCGATGATGGTGATGTCGGCCTCTGAGGCACTGGATGAGGTAAGGAATGTGCACGAGGGATTGGATGTGGCAGTGGGTGGGGTATTGGATGAGACAAAGGAAAAGGATGAGCTCCTGGTACACGAGGCTGCTCCTTTTTATCTTTTAACCGAAGCCATGTGTCCCCTAAAGCCTTAGCAAAATGATCGTCAACAGAATTAGGGGCTGCGGCTTCAGACTGATCGTTCTTTGGTTTGAGTGCCGACCATGTGCTGTCTCCCAACGCTCGTGCAAAATGATCATCAACTGATCCTGAAAAAACAAATATTTATGATATAGGCATATTGCTTGAGTTGTACATCAAGGAATATTGCAATTTTTAGGTTATTAAATTCAGATGTTACATTTTCATTAAAAATTTACTATGTTACTGTACCATATTGAATGGACAGAAATATCAATATATATTGTCACATCTTGTTCAGCTGTTTTTCATCATTGAAAATTTTAAGCTTGATACAAAGGGACATCACTTAGGCTGGCATAATGACATACAGTATTCAGATACAAGTTTGCTCCCTTTGAATTTGAAATGTTAATAAGAACTTGTTTGACCAACAATTTATTCTGTTTATGGTGCCAACTAGAATACAAAATAGTGGGTTTGTAATATAACACTCCTGGAAATATACAGTCAACAATCATCTGAAAATTTAACTTAACACTGAAGAAAGTTTAGGACTGTTTGATACTGTTGAAACCTATTTACACACCTGTTATAGAGACATTTTTGTTAGCAGCTGGTGCTGATGGTGTCATGGCATTCCCCGGTGATGGTTGCCTGGGTGGGGCTATAGGCACAGTCTGAGGCAATGGGGGTGGGGGAGATGGTGTTACTGAAGGATTCCTTGTAAGATATTCCGGATAGTGTTTGCCAAGTGATCGCCTAAAATGTTCCTCAATAGCAGGGTCACAAATATCTGAAAATACAAAATAAAATTCAACTGTTGTTACATAAGGAAAAAGTAGGTATAAATAAATGTATGTACATGTAAACAGTTTTAAGTTTATTAACATTCTAAGGTTAGAATTTTTAAAGACTATTAATCCTTCGATCCCCCTCTCTTCCCTTTCCTGGAGGCCCCCTCCTAACATCGTTGTTTTAAGCTGCTATTACTTTCTTAAATTTTGTAGGACAATGCAGTATGTGAATAAAACTAAATTTGAGTAATATTTGTGTATACTGTAACCATTGATGATGAATTTCATCTTGCTTAAACACAATTGTTTGATGGTGGAAATCAAGTGCACCCTGCATCAAGTGCAAACCAACAAAATCCTGCACATCCATGCTATCTGATCTTCAGGTCTGCACTGTTTGCTATTTAGTCAGTCCATATTTTTCTTGAAATGATTAACGGTTTTGTCCAGATAATATTTAGCAACCTAAGGGTAAATAAGTTGTTAATTGAATGAATGAAACTTAACAGAAAACTAAGTCACCGACTATCTGATTTTCAAGGAAAAATTAATGATACACTAAGCTATATTTGTACCTGAAGCTTGTCCTTGGTTTTTTGGAAATGTGAACAAGTTATTTTCAGACCTCCGTGTATCATTATTTTACCTTGTTTATTTTGCTTCGTTGGACATTTAATTAATACGATATGTGTTACTGCATATTTCTCATCGTTACTCATTCATCTGCCGGGTTTTTTATCACAACGGATGTATTCATTTATCCAATGCATAACCATGTTATAAGTTTTTTGCCGCTTTTTTCAAAATGATAAATTATGCATACAAATTGTCTGTCACAAAATGTTTACATAAATATTCACTATTTTTAATATAACATCTGTTTAAGCTTGGGAACAATGGTGCGTTTGTTTTTTAGTACATGATTTTCAACTTGTTATTGTCCTTCAAAATGTTAAAGACCAATAAAATGAGGCATGCGGCTATCAATCCACGATACTCCCCCACGTAAGCGTGTAACTTTATGTCATTCTACTGTCAAGAAAATTCAATTTCTTTTACATATAACCGACAAAAATATGAAAGTTATGACGGGCTTAATTACAGTTACTATGAATATCATCAACATTTCTACTTCACCTACCAAAACAATGCTAATAATTTTCATTTTTTTTCCTTTAAAAAAGTTACGTTTAAAACCATTTCTCAAATGCCATCCGATTAATTAATATTTTCAGGTAGTTAAAAGTAGCAATTTCAGTCCAATATAATTAATCTTGCCTGTTAAAATGCCAAATAAACCTTTCAGTTTAAATGTTAAAACATTAATTACACAATGATGAGTAAAAGTTTTAATAATTATGTAACCTTTACATGTGACCTGAAGAGTGTATCAAACTGCCAGATATAAATCTACAGCTCTTAATGTCATTTCTTTTCAAAATTGGCTAGTCTTTTACTCCATATTTTTTTTCCCCTTGTTTTCTTTTGGTCATAATTTAATTTTTTTTTTTTTTTTTCTCTCTCATTTACAGGATGAGCCCAGGAGGAAAAAAATGTTTTGATTTAGTTACTATCTTTTTTTACTTTTTTTTTTTTTTTAATTCACATGACATTTGTAAAGGATATTTACATTTACTTATTAAAGAGGGTGACCACCATGTGAATTTAATTCAAGGTGCAGCTTTATATTAATAAAACCCATAAAGTTTTTTTCTTAAAATCAAGATAAATCAAGAAAAAAACAACAAACAAAACAAAAAAAAAAACGATCAAAACTGATACTTCATATATAATTATAACCCACAAAAAACATACAATCATTTTGTCCAAATTGTAGAACATGTTACGAATGATAAAAACTTCATTACAGCATTCTCAAATTCCAGCTTAACTGTACAGCTTTCACAGATAACTTGATCAGACCATCCCTTATCAAACCAGGTATAAAATTTTAAAGATATCGGCTCATTTTATCCTTTACTTTTTACAATAAAATTTATTTCATTCATGATTCTGGAGTTGTGTTATGAATTACCTGTAGAAGATTCTTTCCTACTAGGACTCAACGAGCCATTGCTATTTGTATCAAATCTACGATCTGGAAGAGTCGTGCAGGTAATCACGGAGGGTCGGCTCTGCGTAGGACTATGGCTTCCATTGTTTGCATTATTATTGTTATTCATTGTTAGGTTCAGCGGTCCCTCGTGTGGTGAGGGAAGCTCAAGTCTCGAGTGAGGGTAACACGGCGGCGGTGGGCGAGTTGGTGGTGAGTGCATTGATGCATGACTGGGCAAGTAATTGTGTAGATTATATGGCTGGGGCTCTCCGTTTCTATAGTGATCTGGCGATGGTGATGAATTCCGATGTCTGAAAATACAAAAATAAAATTATATTAATTTTTTACATGTGCTTACATTGTAACACTTATTAACACTTTTGGCGCTGAAACGGATGAATTTCCAAACATAACTTGTCCAGCTCCCCTTTTTGGAACTGACCATTAACAATTTTAAGAAAATCAAGATGAAACTCAGCCAAAGCTATAAGCCTGGTCAGACTACATGCTGGCTTCAGACAGGTGGAAAAGGCTTTCAGCAGTGTAAGGGATACATATCATTTGTATACAATCATGCAAAGAGAAAAATCAGATGTATTTATTTTAAAATGTGTAATCAAGGGGTTTTACACACTCTGTGAGCAGTTGTCAGTACAACAAGAAATTGTTACATGTCTGTCTGTTAATCTAAACCCAAGAATTAATCACACATATAACATATACAAATATGACATCAGTACAAAAGGTTCACAACAGAAAAAAAATCTGACTTGTAACTTCAAAATTTTCGAGTGAACACTTCCCAAAATTTTGCAAGGTAGAAAATCGTGAGTAATGCACAGCCATGTATTTTGCCTGTATTACATAAGAGACCAACCTACACCTACATGTTAACAACAGTACAAAACAGCAACCTGTCGGTATATGACTCATCTATACCTGCTGAAACAATTAAACAAGAAATGTCTGCAACAGGTCTACCTTACCTTCCCCTGCAAATTATATGCTCTAAATTTAATGCACTTTTATTTCACAAGTTTTCATCTACGTAATTGCTGGATTAGGGTCGAATCAATAAAAATAAACTCCTCACAAAAATGAACCCCCCCCCCCCTCCTCTAAAAAAAAAATCCAGAAAAAATCTGAGTTTAGCAAATTTGCAAATTTTTACCTTTTTTTTGTGGGGGGTGGGGGGAGGGGGGGATTGTTGTTGATACTTAATGCTGGTAAATTAATGAGCTTAATGAGCTACTTATAACATTAGTTTTTATTTACAATACAAATATAGCAAAATGAATGTACGTTATCACAATTTTTGTGTGTGTTTTTTTTGTATTTATTTTGTAATTCTATAAAGTCTGCTTAACACCTTGTTATGTAACCTGATACCTTGTTATAGATAAAATTATAGGCAAATAAAAAAAAACAATATCTAAAAATAACAAAAACCTGGAACAGATAATTATCAGCTGCAAACATAATGGTTGATTCCGAAATCTTTAGATATACAGCAAAAAAACGAAGTGGGCGTAGAAAATATTCCTGTGAGAAATGATAGTAATTGTCTTATAAGTTATAGCATGTTTTCGTGTATATCAATTATGTATATTCTATAATACTATAGTAATTAAGACAGGTCAATACGTGGTATCTATAACACCTTAACAAAAACCTTACGCTGATCTCATTGTAATAAATATAAAACTGCATGTAAAAAGAGCATTACAAAAGATTACGCATGACTCATTTCCTTCTATTCATGTATAAACGTTTTTATTAAAGTTTAAGTTTACGTATCAAAACATTATAACCATAAATACACAAGTTGAAACAACCTTTAACGTAATCTCAGTTGAGACCAATTATACTATCATTATAAACCATAGTACGCATATTAATGATTATTAAAATGATTATTAACGTGACAAATTTAAACAAAAAATAAACGCACTGTCCTAATTAAAGAATCAGAACAACGTATATTGTATATATTGTAAACAAATCGGTTCAATGTAGCCAATTTCGTAGTTTATAAAACTATTATATCATTTACAGTAATGACTAATGAGAGAGTTTTTTTTACGATTAAAATTAAATTATAAAACTAATAAATTGTTAATTTCTAAAAGAGAAGTTTAATACTGTCAGAACTGTATATGGAAAATGCCACTTCCATAGATTAGAGGTCTCTCCGAATAAAGGTTAAATAACACTAACTTATAATTGAACAAGGGTTTGATAATAAATTTCACTTATAACTTTCAGTCTAAACAAGAGCTGTCGGTAGGACAGCAACGCTCGACTATTCTTAGTGCTTGATAGTAAAAAAAAAATGCTTGATACAGTTACCTCCTCCTGTTTACAGGTTGGGGTAATGATGGTGAACAAGTGTGCAAAGTTCCAAAGCAATATGTCAATGGACTTTGAAAATATTTGAACTATTACAAAAACTTTAACATAAATTCTAAGTCGAAAAAGGGGCATAATTCTGTCAAAATGCTTGATAGAGTTACCTCCTCCTGTCTACAGGTTGGGGTCATGATGGTGAACAAGTGTGCAAAGTTTCAAAGCCATATGTCAATGGACTTTGAAAATATTTGAACTATTACAAAAACTTTAACGTAAATTCTAAGTCGAAAAAGGGGCATAATTCTGTCAAAATGCTTGATAGAGTTACCTCCTCCTGTCTACAGGTTGGGGTCATGATGGTGAACAAGTGTGCAAAGTTTCAAAGCCATATGTCAATGGACTTTGAAAATATTTGAACTATTACAAAAACTTTAACATAAATTCTAAGTCGAAAAAGGGGCATAATTCTGTCATAATGCTTGATAGAGTTACCTCCTCCTGTCTACAGGTTGGGGTCATGATGGTGAACAAGTGTGCAAAGTTTCAAAGCCATATGTCGATGGACTTTGAAAATATTTGAACTATTACAAAAACTTTAACATAAGTGGTTACGCCGACGCTCGGGTGACTGCAATAGCTCTACTTATTCTTATCGAATAGTTGAGCTAAAAATATATAATCGAACACGCTTACGGTACATGGGCAAATCTTACATAAAAAAGTATTCCGTTAACTTTTGACTCATTTACATGTAAACGCTTGCATTTGAATTAGCCAATCAGATTTCCCACACTGTATCCCGGCCACTTGTTTATCAGCTGTAAAAGGAATTTAATTTAATGAGAGGATTTAATCAAGATTTTTTGGATGTGACAATTAAATAATTTTGTTAAAAGGCATAAAATTTGTTTACTTTTGTTCATAGAATTTATATACAAGAGCTGTCGGTAGGACAGCATGCTTGACTATTCTTAGTGCTTGATAGTAAAAAAAATGCCTGATACAGTTACCTCCTCCTGTTTACAGGTTGGGGTCATGATGGTGAACAAGTGTGCAAAGTTTCAAAGCCATATGTCAATGGACTTTGAAAATATTTGAACTATTACAAAAACTTTAACGTAAATTCTAAGTCAAAAAAGGGGCATAATTCTGTCAAAATGCTTGATAGAGTTACCTCCTCCTGTTTACAGGTTGGGGTCATGATGTTGAACAAGTGTGCAAAGTTTCAAAGCCATATGTCAATGGACTTTGAAAATATTTGAACTATTACAAAAACTTTAACGTAAATTCTAAGTCGAAAAAGGGGCATAATTCTGTCAAAATGCTTAAAAGAGTTACCTCCTGCTGTCTACAGGTTGGGGTCATGATGTTGAACAAGTGTGCAAAGTTTCAAAGCCATATGTCTTTGGACTTTGAAAATATTTGAACTATTACAAAAACTTTAACGTAAATTCTAAGTCGAAAAAGGGGCATAATTCTGTCAAAATGCTTGATAGAGTTACCTCCTCCTGTCTACAGGTTGGGGTCATGATGGTGAACAAGTGTGCAAAGTTTCAAAGCCATATGTCAATGGACTTTGAAAATATTTGAACTATTACAAAAACTTTAACGTAAATTTTAAGTCGAAAAAGGGGCATAATTCTGTCAAAATACTTGATAGAGTTACCTCCTCCTGTCTACAGGTTGGGGTCATGATGGTGAACAAGTGTGCAAAGTTTCAAAGCCATATGTCAATGGACTTTGAAAATATTTGAACTATTACAAAAACTTTAACATAAGTGGTTACGCCGACGCCGACGCTCGGGTGACTGCAATAGCTCTACTTATTCTTATCGAATAGTCGAGCTAAAAAGACAGCCAGAAATCATTCCTATTAAAATAGTCAAAAATAACATCAGTTTTTTCAAGTGGTCTTTTATGTTACTTGGATGTGGTCTAAGTTAAGCATAGGTTTCACTGGTTATGTTCAAATAATTCACAGCAACAATATATTCAATTCACAAATACCCAGGTATAATAATTATATAACAATTCACTTGAAGGCAAATATCATTATAATTTTCAAATTCCGGAATGTTTCCAGATCAATTTTGATGATCTATAGGTACGCCCTTCATTTCCTACAGAGACGAGAAATCTGTTCATCGTGCATTTTTTACAGGTTCAGTTTTTCCATTCATAAAACCACTCAGCTTATGCGATTCAGATCTTGCTCCTTAAGTTGCAGCATGTGGCTTCAAAGCACAGGTTGGAACAGTTGAAATTTGCACTGCAAAACAACTGTAAAGCAATTGTTTTTTATTGTAGACATAGAAGTATTTTACGCTAATCATCGTTAATGCCGCAAACATACTTAGCCGAGTTCCTGCAGCTGCTACCTATGGGAATTTTTTGTCTCCAGACTGCATATTATTGCAGAAAATATAATCCCTGGCACCCACCAGTTATAAAGATAAGCCAAATTTAATTACCAAAGTTATTGCTACGGCACAATTACCAGCAAAAATCTTAAATACTTAGAATATCTATACAAGTTACAGATGCTGATGCAAAGACCGTGCATATTTCATTACTATTCAGTCAATGACTCTGAGAAAAGTACATGATGTTTGCTTGTATATTTCTTTTGTAATTCAGCCAGAAATTGGTCTATTGGATAGAGTTGATATCAGCATAACACAAGCTTCTGAAGAGATGGCATTTATGTGCACTTAGTAAACTTTTTGCAAAGACATTGCAGGCAGATTATGCCGAGTGTTTTTCACTGTAAATGTCTGCACATTTGTAACAGATCTATTGCAGCAGTTTCATAATAAGTTCTTCCCAATTAACCAAGTTACATCAGTACTGAGGTAAACATTGTACTGTGCCACTAGTGAACCATTGTACTTTATAACAAGTGAACCATTGTATGGCCCCCACCAGTGATCCAAACTATATATATGTAAATTGTTAGCTACAATACTTTACCACCTGAACCATTGTACTGAACCATAGCAATTAACCCCCAGATAAGCACTGTACATTAAACCATTATACTTTACCATCAATACTTCATTTCACTTTGTGAATCATGGTACTTTATCACCAGTGAACCATATTACAACCTGAATGAACCATTGTACTTTACAACTTCAGTGAACCATGGTATATCACCTCCTGTGAACCATTGTACTTTAGAACAAGTGTACTAATATACATTACAAACCAGTGATCCATTGCACTTTACAATCTGAGTGAACCCATTGTAATTCACCGCCTGTGAACCACTGTACTATACAAAAAGTGTACCATTGTACATTACAAACCAGTGAACCATTGTAATTCATAATCAAGGAACGGTGCACTGCACTTTACATTGGTAATTCTAATACTTTACCACAAGTGAACCACTGCTCTATTCAACCTGAGCAAACCAAAGAAATTCACAAGCGAAAATGTGTACTTTACCCCAGTGAATAAGTGTACTTTACTCCCAGTGAACAATTGTACTTTACCCCCAGTGAAAATGTGTCCATTTCCCCCAGTGAAAATGTGTATTTTACCCCCAGTGAACAATTGTACTTTACCCCAGTGAACAAGTGTACTTTACCCCCAGTGAACAATTGTACTTTACCCCCAGTAAAAAATTGTACTTTACCCCCAGTGAACAATTATTGTACTTTACTCCCAGTGAATAATTGTACTTTACCCCCAGTGAACAATTGCACTTTACCCCCATTAAACAATTGTACTTTACCCCCAGTGAACAATTGTACTTTACCCCCAGTGAACAATTGTTCTTTACCCCCAGTGAACAATTGCCCTTTACCCCCAGTGAACAATTGTACTTTACCCCCAGTGAATCATTGTTATTCATCACAACATCACAAGTTAGTCTGAATCAAACAGAAAATCTGAAGTTATTCTGAAATTAAGCTGAAGTTTTGCTGAATAAATGCTGAATACTGCCTAACAGCAAAATACATGCCATGATTCATTGCTGAGCTTCAAAATTAGGCATCTCAATACCTTTTGAATAAAAGTGCATAAAGTGTTCAAACTTATTTCAGGTTTCAGAAAAAGGTTTCAGAAAATATATACCTGAGAAATATACTAAAAAGCCTGACATGTTCAGATAAAATGTTCTGTCTAGTTTCAGCTAAATTACAAAATATATTTCAAATATTCACAGGACATGATGTGATGATTTCACACTTTACCACACATGATGTGAACATACTAAGGGGTATCATAGCTTTGATCCACAACCACCCAGTAAACATCATCCTGTAATTTAGCTGGAACTCAAGAGCTTCCCTACTTCTATCCCTCTCTTGTTCAATAAAGTAAACAGACTTGAACAATTCAAAACCACTAGACATCACATTCCTTTACCTTTATTGTAAATAACTGTCTCTCAAACAATAATGAGCGGTGGGGTAATTCAGTTTATAACAATGCAATGGTGGTATAAGTTTGATGGATGCTTTTCTGCTTGTTTTTTTTGCAAGTAAAAGAATTCTCCTATCTTAATATATTTTCTATTTGTGTTTGAAGTTGAAAGGACTATAATGATGTGTTTATTTGCTGCACTACAGAGCAAAGCAATAAAATATGACACAAATGACATATATTAAAGTTTAATCAAACCTATCATACCTTTATTTCCTTTATAATTGAACATGATATATAAATTAATTATGCAAATCAATTTAAATATATCGTATAAAGGCTGCAGGTTACAGCAGTCAACTGTCTCAAGGTTGAGTCTACACAATAAGTGGAAGTAAACCTGTATTAAGACCACCTCTAAAGAAAGATAATTGTTCAGCCAACATGCTAATGAATGCTAAAATCAAACCTTTAAAAAAAACACCTCAAAATAACAACCACTTCAAAACATTGTTATTAATTAAAGGCAAGCATATTTTAAGGTATATCCAAGGTATGTCCAAGGACAATTAAACAAATATAGTGCAAAACTGGTACATGTACTGGGCATTAACAGTCAAGTTTTACTGTATTTCATACTTTGATATCTTAATTAAATTTTACACTTTATTACTCTGCAATGATTTGCTAACCATACATTTTTATTCAGCTTCCTTTCCCCCCTGATAAGCCAATTTAATAGATATGAAAACACTTTTTACTAGATAGGTAATAATGTGTCTGTTTCTACAGACATAATCATTCACGCCCTCTGTATATTTACTTATAGATTACAAGTTACCGACAATATCAAAAGTAAAAACTTCTTTCCTATGAAAATTATATTTCTTTGTTTGATTATGATATGAAAACTTGATTTCTTTTTTTGGTTGGGTTTTTATGTTGCACTGACACAGTATTAAGGTCATATGGCGACTTTCCAGCTTTTCACTGGTAGAGGAAGACCTCAAAAGCCCTTCTGTTTATTATTTCAGGCACAAATGTGCACCTTAACCACTGATGTTAAGTAAGCTGGCAGGATATCTTCCTCCTATGAAATAATCCAAAGTCCCTGGCAGGATTTGAACCCATGGCTGTGAGGGGCAAGTGGTGTAATGTCAACCATTCAACCACAGACACCTCACTTGACTTCATAAAAAACCTTGATTAAAATATTTTGCTTTTCATTATTGTGAATTATTTAAGTTTATGTAAAGCTTCAATTATTATATTATGTATTAAAGTAACAATACACTGGCTCTAATTTAATAATGTCAAGTCACTTTACTTGAATAGTTTAAACTTAATAACCCTAAGCTTGCTGGCAGTAAAAGATTCTACCCATGCAACCAGTGCAGACCAAGATCAGCTGGCAAATCTGTGCCATCTGATCACGGTCAGCTTTAGTTTAAATACATAATGAATTAATAATTTAATCTTAAATCTAAATATTTCCTATAAATTTCACTCCTAACCATTGAAATAGCCCCAACTCATTTTAAGAGACTTCAAACTTAAATCTCACAAAATTTAAGATGGACTGATGGATGAATATCAAGCTATAATATAGGATGATTGTCTAAAAATCAACAAAAAATACTTACAATGATGTCTCTGAACTGATCTGTTTATGTATAGTGTGGTGTTCCTTCTCATATTTTGGTGGTTTAGAAACTTCTAACCATTTCTGTACTCTTTCATGCATGTTCATTTTTGTAGGTAATTCCTTGCCATACGATGGCCGAGCGTCATACTCGACATGTTCAGGAGCTTGGGTCAGCACCGGTGGTCCCTCGATTGAAGTTGGAACAGGCGGCGGCAATGGAACACCTTTATATAGGGGGTCTTGAGCTGCAATAAATGAAGAAAAAATGTTGAATACTCCCCACCTAGAATACCATATGAGGGAACCATATTAACTTGGTGACTGTGACCAAAATAATGCATAGCCGGGCACCAAGATAGATACCTTCTCTATGAGACAAGCTGGAAAATATACAAAATATGATCTGCAATTTTTACATCATGATCTTAATATGTTAAGCTATATCATTGTCTAACATCAAAATCTAACATCTATTACTGCATAGCTGTTCCAGAGATAGTACTCAAGATATGATTGCTGGCTAAGATGACTACTGTTCTGTTCTGTTATATAACGGCATATTACAAATTAACATGCTTATAAAATATTATAAAACAAGTTTATAATCTTATGTAAAAATAGATAAAAACTTAAAAACTCATACACCTTTAAACCTAGTGACTAGAACACAACTTCCCCCTGTTATACTATTGTTAATGGATGCCAGATAAAAACTTTTTTTCTTTAATTTTCACTTTATTTTTTTAATACAATTTAATATACAATTACGTTAAGGTCAGAAAAATAGTTAAATATGGTAAAGGAAAATAAACAGACTAATACACTATCTTGATCTAACTGCAGAATTTTTTTTTCTTATTTACAGTACTAAAAATAAACTTTTTTTTATTGCTGTCATTCAAATAACGAATCAAACACAAAAAACGCAAAACAAAACAAAAATACAAATGAAATTTACGCTCGGTCTTTTTGATGTATTACCGAAAATAATACATCTTTACAAGGTTTAAGCCAAGATGACTCATAATTATACCTTGTAAGTTGCAAAAACCACTTGACAAACTTTGGCAATATTACAAGTACATAATCTATGAATGAGGAGCTCACAGGTATCCGAATAAATTGAGAAATGACAGGAAACACGCTTCAGTAAATTTTGATAGTGACATTTAAATCCTGTGGAAAAGGACAATGTTTTCACATGAATGAGTTTTTTTTATCTACCTATATTGATATATATATTTTATAATGAGTAATGATCACACTGAAAGCCGTCCTTATTTTTATGAATGAAATTTACGTCAAAGTTATCAACCCCCTGTATATCTTAAGACAGGTACTCTATTCTAATGTGCTTTTTTGTATAAGAACATAAATTATGGAAACGGGGAAATATGTTTGCATTTAAACCCGTATATTAAACTGCGCAACAAATGTTCCCTTGTTTCAAACGCAGATGTGATGTGTATACATTACTTAAATGTAAAATACCCTTTACATAAATAAAATTTAACAGGTGACCTAGTTAAATAAAAATTACCACAAAAAGACATTTACTTTGTAGATCTTGGGGCTAAAATTCACACGTTTGACAGCATATCTGATGGGGTTTTAAAAAAAAAAATTTCTGCCACAAAGACCACAATGAGAAAATAATGACCACAAATATTTTCCTACATACAAGAAAGTCATGGGTTATACATACATATATTGAATAGTAAGCATGATCATCATTTGATTAGTATATATGAGTATAATATAAAACCACAGATCTTGTTTGCTTTTGCATTTGTATTGCCCTGTATTTTAAAATCTGATAATTACAGCTTTTTTAAGTGTAGCAGTTCCTTTTTTTTAATATTGAAAATAAATAAGCATTTTGCTTTGTTTGTAATTAAAGCACCAGTCCTGATTTTAAGATATTAAGTGTAGCCATAATATTATACAAATGTATCCTCATGTATGTTGTGATAGTAACAGTTTATTAACAACTTCTCCTCCACCACAGTCAATATTCACTAAAGCTCTTAAGAGCAACTTAAGCATTATGGAAATATATTTGCCACAGCTACAATTTATTAAGATACAACAATTTTCTTATTCATCCAGATTATAATTAGAATTCAATAAGAAACTGAATACCTTATGCTTTATGTAATGTAGATGAAACTGACCAAGCAGTTTACATTGAATGGTAAATATCAGCACCACTCATGTCAATGTTAGTATAAATGTTAACAAGCTAATATTTAGTTGATGTCAATGTACATTATATCAATGTAAGCTGAGTTGGTATCAATGTAAAAACATATTCATATCAATGTCAATGAAAGCCAACTGATGCCAATTTAAATGTAAGCTTTAATATTATATCATATCAATGTTCAGAGTTAATTTAAATATAATGAGGGCATTGATGAAAATTTATATCAATATTTAAGTAATTTTATATGAATTTTAAATTAAGTTGACCTTCATAGAAGAAAGCTGATGCCAATGAAAGAATAAAATTAGTATATTTTTATTTTATGTATACAAGTTGAAGTGAAAGTAAGTATAATTACAAATAATATTTGTAAAATCCAGTGTGACCTGCCTTCAGGACAACAAAATGTAAATGAAATTTGTGATGACCTTAACAACATTCAAGGTTCATGCGAACAATCATCGAAAAACCTTGATTGTATCTCATCCTAGATGAAATCTTTAATTGTTATTTGTCTTTGAAGTGTTTAATACCATTATCTTTAGCCAGCTTCAATCAATGATGACTATATAGTAATAGAAATCATACTTTCCAAGGAAGCAATGGTCAATTGAAGATAAAATTACCTTATTCGAAAAAGGCGTACACTGCGATTTATCAACGGATATCTCCGAAATTTATCCGCTATCTCTCAAGTATGTATTGACGCAAATGGATATCTATTGTTAATAATCAAAACTTTTCAAAGTGTTCTTCAAATAATGAAAATGTCTGTTAACTACCATATTTATTATAATAAACATGCAGTTTTTTTCCTAAAAAGGAAACGTTTAATCTACCATTATCACCTTGAATGTCACTAACAATTTATGATCTAAGCATTCAAGTAGTCAACAGTATGAAGAGATAGGTATAATTTTGTAGTTCAAAGGGATCTGTCACTAGATGGTTATGAAGATTTTGTTTACCATATATGTCATTAAGTTCAAATTTTTAAATATGGATAACTGAACTTTTTTTTTAAATTTGGACCGTGTACATTGTACTTATATATGGATCGATTTCAAGGTCAATAATGTAAAATTTAATGGCAATGAGTTCAACATTAGTTATACTATGTAGTCTCATGTAAGATTGAATGATTGTGCAGTACAACACTGGTGGCATCTAAGACTGCACGATAAATTCACCGCTGTCATACCAACACGTCTATTTTAAAATGATGAAAATAAATCTTCACAAAATAAATTATCATTCAGGCAAAATTATATCATGGACTATTAATTATCTTAGAACTAACACATTGTTGCATGATTTACTCACAAACGAAATTACTTTTAATTTTTTTCTTCTTTTTTTTTTTTAAATATTATGTCATTAATAATAATTTGAATTTGGGTGTAATTTCAACTTAAGGTGGAGTTTTATATAGTAACAATAGAAACATATGTTGTGTATAGACACACCCATGTTTTACATTCATATTTTATCTAAACAGGTTATCATGCTATCTTACAATACTATCATGTTAACTTTTAAAGCTAGTCATATTACTTTAATAACAAAAAGTGTGCACTAATTGTCAATTTAAAGGGATTTCATTATCAACAATACTGAAAATAAACAGTTGCAAGTATATTATAAACTTTATTTGGTAACTATTCTATGGTATGTGATTAATTGTTAGCTATTCCATGGTATGTGATGAAATGTTAGCTATTCCTTCATATGTGAAGAAATGTCAGCTATTCCTTGGTATGTGATGAAATGTAAGCTATTCAATGGTATGTGATGAAATGTTAGCTATTCCTTGGTATGTGATGAAATGTTAGCTAGTCCTTGGTATGTGATGAAATGTTAGTTATTAAATGGTATGTGATGAAATGTTAGCTATTCTTTGGTATGTGATGAAATGTTAGCTATTCTTTGGTATGTGATGAAATGTTAGCTATTCCTTGGTATGTGATGAAATGTTAGCTATTCAATGGTATGTGATTAAATGTCAGCTATTCAATGGTATGTGATAAAATGTTAGCTATTCTTTGGTATGTGATGAAATGTTAGCTATTCAATGGTATGTGATTGAATGTCAGCTATTCCTTGGTATGTGATGAAATGTTAGCTTTTCCTTGGTATGTGATGAAAAGTTAGCTATTCAATGGTATGTGATGAAATGTTAGCTATTCCTTGGTATGTGATGAAATGTTAGCTATTCAATGGTATGTGATGAAATATTAGCTATTCCTTCATATGTGAAGAAATGTTAGCTATTCCTTGGTATGTGATGAAATATTAGCTATTTCTTGTTATGTGATGAAATGTTAGCTATTCAATAGTATGTGATGAAATGTTAGCTATTCAATGGTATGTGATGAAATGTTAGCTATTCCTCGGTATGTGATGAAATGTTAGCTATTCCTTGGTATGTGATGAAATGTTAGCTATTCAATGGTATGTGATGAAATGTTAGCTATTCCTCGGTATGTGATGAAATGTTAGCTATTCCTTGGTATGTGATGAACTGTTAGCTTTTCCTTGGTATGTGATGAAATGTTAGCTATTCAATGGTATGTGATGAAATGTTAGCTATTCAATGGTATGTGATGAAATGTAAGCTATTCCTCAGTTTGTGATGAAATGTTAGCTATTCTGTGGTATGTGATGAAATGTTAGCTATTCAATGGTATGTGATGAAATATAAGCTATTCAATGGTATGGGATGAAATGTGAGCTATTCCTAGGTGTGTGAGAAAAAGTTATCTATTTGTTGGTATGTGATGAATGTTAGCTATTCCTTGGTATATGATGAAATGTTAGCTATTTTATGGTATGTGATTAACTGTTAGCTATTCCTTGTTATGTGATGAAATAAAAGCTATTCTATGGTACATAATGAAATGTAAGCTATTCTATGGTATGTGATGAAATGTTAGCTAGTCTATGGTATTTTATGAAATGTAAAGCTAGTCTATGGTATGTAATGAAATGTAAGCTTTTCTATGGTAAGTGATGAAAAGTTAGCTAGTCTATGGTATGTTATGAAATGTCAGCTATTCCTTGGTATGTGATAAAATGTTAGCTAGTCTATGGTATGTGATAAAATATAAGCTAGTCTATGGTACATAATGAAATGTAAGCTATTCTATGGTATGTGATGAAATGTAAGCTATTCCTTGGTAATTGTGATGAAATGTAGCTATTCTTTGGTATGTGATGAAATGTAGCTATTCTACGGTATGTGATGAAATGTAAGCTATTCCTGGGTAATTGTGATGAAATGGAGCTATTCTTTGGTATGTGATGAAATGTAGCTATTCTGTGCTATGTGATGAAATGTTAGCCATTCAATGGTATGTAATGAAATGCCAGCTATTTGGTATGTGATGAAATGTTAGCTATTGTATGATATGTGATGAAGTGTTAGCTATTGTAAGGTATTCAATGTCAAATGTAACTTGATGAAGTAGCTTTTTGGTTGTTTTTATATGCCATATTTGCTCAGTTTTGTAAGTTATGTGTGCTGAAAAGATATTTATTTTTGTGTTTAAGTGCTGGAAATTATATAATTTATTGTGATATGTGGTAAAATATCAAAGCTATTATGTGCTATGTGCTAAACTAACTCAATAAGCAGTATTTTGTGATAATGAATTATTTTAAAATGTGAGCTATTTTCATATGTGCTGGAATGTTAGCTTCTTGTGAGTTTGACTGAATTTCATAAACTCTTCAAAAGTCCTTGTGGAATAGATAGTATTTACCTGATAATAGTATTTTGATTTCCGTAAATGGAAGAGAAAAAGAATTTCATGACTCCTGAATATACAGCTCAGCTTGCACTTTAAAGGCACATTAAGCCTCAGAAATCCGTATCTTTTTAATTCTCTAGAAATGTCAAACATGTGTTAAATAATGTTTTGATAAAGGATTTAGAGCATATTAGATATTAAACAGCTGAAGAAAGTTGTACTGAATGAGCAGTTTTGACATTGATGTCATAAAGGTAGCAAAATGTTAACATTTAAAGTTGTATTTTAACTTCCATACAAAATACTCATTCACTTTGATAGGACTGTAAAGTAGTTCATCTATGCGGAAAATGGTTATTTTTTTAAAACGTTTACAAAATACCAAAAATAAAAAGTTTTTTGAGAAATGAAAATCATATTGGATAGTACAATGTATTTACTATTTCTGACGCAAAATGGGGCTTTAATTATTTATTTATTTTCACAGAGCACATAAACTTTTCGGTAAAAAATTAGTATGCAGACCTTCACTTAGAACATCTTACAAAAACATCTAGTTTTAAGTTTATGTGCTGGGAGACATTTTCATGCCTACCACTTCATTCAATTATATTATAGAGGTCCTGATAATGAATATCTTAACAGAATTCGTTCATCTATCCATTAATAATTTTTTGCTTCATTCATTATAATTGTTTGTGCATTAATTTAAAATAATCATGCAAAGCAGAGTCCAGACTATCATAAATAAACTGTTATATATTAAACTAACAAAAACTCTGACACAATATCAATTTATTAGGCAGTCAAGAAGCACCTGCATTGTATAATTATGGATGTGTCCATGGGGGGGGGAGAGATTTGCCTTTGTATTGCCACCATTGTAGAGCTCTAATTGTTCACAGCTAAATTTTTGTATTTTGATATTGAATACCCTTAAGATTTAAATGGACTGTTCTAACTGCAAAGCTTGGCAAATCCATTAATCAAATTTAGCAGGTTAATATACTGTACATTGTGATTTTGAGATGTAAGTAGTTAATTAATTGCCTGCAATATGTTAAAACATGTTAATATATAATACTACAGAATATCCCTAATGGCTTATTTCCCAAAATATTTTCTAATATAATCAAATATAACTCTAAATACCTTAAACAGACTTTAAAAAGACCCTAAATATACAATGTAATAGAACTTAAATATACTCATTCATTATAACTGATTGTAAAAATATGAAATATTGTAAAATTTTAAAATTGAATAGCCATGACTAATACAAAATGTCTTTTATTGAGCTTTTAAGGAGTTATGAAATCAGATACAAAGAAAACAAAAGTTGATTAGCCCATAACAAAAATATGTCAAAAAACATAATTCTGAATGAAATTTTTTTTAAGCATTATATAACATCACCATCTACTGAATATAATTTTTTCTGACACCCGTCAAGTTTTTTTATTGAGACAAAAAGTGAAGAAAAAAATATATATTCACCTGCTTTTAAATACCATGACGACCATAAGTATGGATTAACTGACGAATAATCGTAAAGTTCAGAGAGAAGATGCGACCTTGACAGAGCACAAGGACAGTTGGGTATTGTGCACCACGATACTGCCGGCCCGGGTGGTGGCGGATGCCATAATGGAAGAAATGGCACTGTTGGTAAATTGACACTACTGTTCAAACTGTAACCACCAAACCCTGATCTTAAGTCACTTAACCGCGGCTCCAATAAAGACATTGTCCTCCGACTCTCTATATTTGTATCCAAGTTCAGCATGGGACACTTTTATACCAACACACACCTTATACAATCTTAACAGTTAACACTATCCAAACCTAACACCTTCCCAGTTTTATACCATTGAATTAAACATTGACAACTCTTTCAAATATATATATGCACTTTCATCAAATTTTAAACTATCCCCGTAATTGTAACTGTAACGATTTTTATTTCATAAATTTCATTTCGTGTTTCGTTGATAAATTATAAGTTACGTATGTAAAAGATCCAATTCATTCAAATCATGCTATCTGTCTATCCGATAGAAATACTTCAGGTGAGTAATACAAACAGCTCACTTCAGGTAATGTAAACTAGACTGCAAAACCCGCTAAGATAAAACCGTAAATTCATTTATAACTATACAGCTATCCTTAACGTGAACTCCACTGTGAGAACTTGAGTAAAGTAAAGCAATTTGATAGGTCATGTGTGACCTGATACCAAAAGGACATTGTTGTAAACTTGTGTCGGATTGGCCGAAATTGTCAAAATGAACTAGTGTGTGTTAAAGCGAATGCACTCATTACCATAATTATATTTGTAAATAGAGTAATAGATATTTTTTCAATGACTTAAACACATCTTTTCGGTACACTTTAAATCACCTTAAGACGCCTTGTTAATCCAGATTGAAAATCATGCTTTTTTATGTAGTAAAAATACAAGCGACTTTAATAGCTGTGTCAAAATTATTACTGTGTCAGGGTTTATGATTCAATTTAAGCAGTTTTTGAGTTGTAAACTTTTAGCAATAAGCAATATAATTTATATTATGATTATTCGTCATATAATATTTTGTCATCATCTTTACAAAATACATAACAAATAACAGTAAAATATTGAAATAACATTTAATAAATTGCATATTAATATTAAAGGGGAAAAAAACCCACATATTTCACAGAATCTTAAACATATATGAGCCGCGTCACGACAAAAGCAACATAGTGGGTTTGCGACCAGCATGGATCCAGACCAGCCTGCGCATCCGCGCAGTCTGATCAGGATCCATGCTGTTCGCTTACAAACACTATTACAAGTAGAGAAACTGATAACGAACAGCATGGATCCTGATCAGACTGCGCAGATACGCAGGCTGGTCTGGATCCATGCTGGTCGCAAACCCATTATGTTGGTTTTGTCATGGCACGGCTCATATTTCTCAGTAACAGACTCAATCTAGCTATAGCATCTGAGTTTTTTTTAACTTATTTTGTATATCAACAGTCAATTCTTTGATAACAGTGTTGTGTAACACCTTAGTGCAGTAATGGGTTAACTACTAAATTTAATTATAAAGAGTTAATCTGTAACTATAGTTGACAGTTTGTTAATAGCTATAACTTAGATTTTCTTTTCATTAAATGCTGTCACAGAACATACAATAAGACCAAATTATTTCATATTTCATGATCCTAATAGGGCGGCCACAAACCCTGGGTTATGATTGAGAGGTCGACACAACTCAGTGACCTCCCTTTATAAAATTTTCAACTTTTTGTTCAGTTCATTTTTTTACAATAATGATCCATGATATAATTCACAATTTAAGAAATGAAGCATGTTTAATTTTAGTTAAAAAAGATTTTCTATTGCTTTTTCTTTTAAAAGTTAAAGATAATCTTTGCAGTTAATGTACATGTAGCAGTTTAAATAGATCCTACATTAAGGAAAGTTGACCTCCTTAACCAGGTGGTTGAGTTAGATGACTTCATAGTATCTCACCTCTGTGACTTTGAAACCTGTGAGGGACTTTATAGTCTTTCATATGAAGAAACTATTGACGGCTAACTCATGGAAGGTTGGTGGCAGCACATTCCTGAAATAATCTGTGGCGGCATGGCAGAGTGGTTAACATGTCAGACTATATAGTTATCTAAGGATTTCTGACCATGTGGGTTCAAACCCTGTCGGGGGCAAGCCATAAATATTTGCTTGAGCAAGAAACTTTACATTCATTGCTTAGTACTGGTTGGTTCCAGGAACAGATTTGAGAGTGTTTCAATAAGCTAATAGATCCAACACAATCAAACTAAAATAAATTTGTATAAACTGAGGTGTTCATCTTCATCCATCAATAACGCTGTGGGATTAAGTCCACATGCGTTCTTTGCATTGTTCATGTGACTTGAGACCCAACAAAAAGTTAATAAAAACATATAAACTGATTGTGTCAGTGTGAACTTGACATTGACCATAGAAGGCCCAAACCCTGCATGAGTTAAATTTAATATTTTTACCAAATATATAGTTTTAATTTGTGCCTATACAGAGCTAACACAATATTTTTAAAATTCATATATTATAACTGTGACGCTAAACCTGTGCTCTGCAAATCATCTTGTTATAGTTTTTAACATTTTTGCCAAGTAATTTCAATTCCTTCAATTGGTTCAAAAGATACAATTAGACAGACATTAAATTGCTAATAGACAGACATGCAACAAAATGGGAAAAGGTGTCATTTCTTTTCTCTTTTTTTAAACAAAGAGTCATAGACCTACATGCATCTATCCCCATCCCCACTGTATACATCTTTCTTATTTCAGAGAATATAGTTAATTATAGAGAATACAAATGTATAATAATGTAAGCTAGTATAGACATAAGCTTGCATGGTGAAAGGAGTCACTTGTTATTCTGAGAATGCACTGTAATCATGAAAGATAGAAATGCACTGCTGTTGAGTGGTGTTCTTATATAATTCCCAGCAGGGATATCCTACCTCTAGATAAGCAATCTACGAATGTGCAATCTAGTTTTGCAACCTGCTGATAAAAACCCAAAAACATTTGGCCTATAGAAGCATTTGGCCTATAGAAAGCATTAAATTTGGCCTACGGTTAATATGTTTCTCAGTCTCGTTTCCTGTGATCATTATCCATGTTCTTGAGATAGAAGATTATATAATGAAACAATTTCTTAACAAATTTTTAACGCTTCCATCCAAATATAATAATAATACTTCAAATGGATTAACAGAGAATTAACCGTGACATAAGCAACATAAAATATAACCATAACTAGCCTCATCTTCCCCAAGATGGTTTTACTCCAGGCATTCTTGCACGTATTAACTTTGTTACAAGTAACTTCTAGTGCATTTGTATGTTTACAAACTGAGTATAATTGCAATTGAAATTTCTAATCTGAACAGTTCTTGCAGAAAATGCAATTACAATGCACTGTAAACTGTCCTGGTCTGGCAGAACGTATATAATATGCAATAATGGCCATCATTTATCCGTAATCTTATTTAACAATATGAACAAATAAGAGGGACATGGTGGTAAATGTGAACAATGATCAATGACGACAGATGCTTGCATTTACGTAATAACCTACAATGACAACATACTTTACAGCACTTCTTCCGAATTACCTTTTTTACGCTGCCTACCGCATGAAGAACTATATTACGTCAGTTTGAGATGTTTTATTTTGTGCCGTCAATCATCGTGCGATTCTAACCCCACCAACAATATGGAAAGTCAATTATCAAAACAACACTGGCAGGTGAGCAATTGTTCTGAGATGAAAAAAACGTAAATTCTGGAGCATTGCTGGCATATTTTAATTCTTTATACATTCTTTATGTGTCAAATACTTGTTTAGCAACATAACAGTAATTCCATCAAAGTGCAATCTATGAAATATCTTTACGTCATAGAAATTACTAAAAAATTCACTTGCTGCGTTAGCAACAGTGTAAGCACTTATTATTACGCCATTGATATTTATTTTAGGAGTCCTCTGTACCATCAGCGTATCTTATATTCAATGTTTTTTTTTCAACTTTGAAATAATTTGACTTACGAAAATATGATTACTTTAATATACTTATTATTCTCAAAATTATTTTTTACATAAAAATTTAGGAACTATTTTTACACACAAAATACAACAACAACAAAAAACAACAGCATTCAATATTACTGACAGAACAGCTTAAAATGAAACATGCACTGTAATGCACTTAAACAATTAATATTTCAAATGCAGAAAAGGTTTTAAAGGCCAATGCATGGGTTACATAGATACTTCCACACACTTAAACCAAATGTCATAAAGTATATCCATTTGATTTCACATCCTTTGATTTCTTTTAAATTTATGTAAATAGGGAACATATATCAATGGGTTTGTCATCAATGATTTCAAATTAAGATATTTCTCATACCTCTATCCCTGTGATGATTGAATACAAATTTGTTTATGATCATATTGTTCATTGTTATTGTTTTATATCTAGGTGCTTAATGTGCTAAATTTGGGTAATGGTCTTGCCCTGTTTACACTATGGAAACGGGGTTAGTTTAAACATATTTATTTTAGCTTGATTGCGAAATAAGTTCTTGCAACTTTTATTTATCACTTTCGAGTCTGCTTTTGTGGTACTAACCAGTGCTGGTGTCATATGAGAAATCATGGTTGTGACTAGAGTAGAGCTCAAACCCATGATCCCTTGGTTGAGAGGCAGACACCTTAACCTGACTAGGCCACCCCTCCATGAAGTTCAGGGTTAACCAATGGTGTACTGTCTGGTCAGACTGCTGTCATTTTTTCCTTCTCTGTTAGGGTAAAAGAATCCATCACAAATTGTTCCTAATTCTAAACAAAAAAATCTCAAATATATAAATTTGACAAGTCATAAAATCCCCTAAAAATATTTGATAAAAATTTTGAATGGGTCAATGGAACATTATTGATCATAATAAAATTTAAAAGAAACAAAAAATATAGACATTGATCAATTTAATGTGAGGATAAATAAAACAACATATTGCAATAACTTTTTTTCAAAAATCTTCATTTTGGTACCACATCTCGCATTTTTTCCCCAACTGGATCAGATGCGGATTGTTTCCAAATTTTATAAAAAAAAGTAGCTGGACAGTACATTTGTGCTCACTTAGGCATGACAAAGATTGTTAATGATATAAGAACAGACGTTAAATTGCTTCTATATAGAATTAAGATTCCTTTACTGAATTTCAAATATTGTACAACTTGAATAAAATAATATTTTGATACACATCAGTTAAATAAAATCAATCATGAATATTATACTGTTTTATTTATCACATACCCCAAATTAATGAACAGTTCACTGTCATAAAGCATCATTTTTTACATTGATCAATGCGTTTATAGTGTTACATTAATATTTCGTGTAAATTTATACTATCTATATATATGCTTGTATAAACAAAAAATGAAAGTGTGTTAAATTATATACAGTGCCCATGCCATTCTGATCCAATTGGGATAATTGGGTTACAAAAACTGCACATACATGCACAAGCTTTCTAATAGAACATTTAATTACGCAGCTTAAATCTTCCATTATTTGACATCTTGTGAAATTATAAATAAAAAAATATAATTATTATAATAAGTAT